ACCACCAGTGTTACCGATCTTGTAAGCACCGGGCTTGATACCACCAACGGTGGCAGGGCCAATAATGGTGATGCCCTTCTCCTTGGCAGTGACCATAATCTCACGAGCGCGCTTTGGTAATCGTTAGCACTGTATCCGAAATGCTTGAAAGATACACAAGACTTACACGCTCGGGAACACCCTCGGCAATAATGGCGATGGAGCGGATCTGGGGGTACTCCATCAACTCCATAGTGGAGGTGTAGACGGAGCGGGAAGAGGCAAAGTTGACAACGGTGTCAACGTCGGGGTGCTTGGCCATGGCCTTCTCGACATCCTGGTAGACGGGAAGGAGAGTCTCACTGGTACCCCAGTACATCTTGCTGACGAACTGACCACCGAAGGTGTAGATGATACCGGCTACGGAAGGAGTCGAGCGCTTGCAGATGAAATCGAAGTCGAGCATGCCCTGCACGGCTCGGGGTTGCATACCGCTGGTTTCTTCGTTAGTCTCTCCTTTCGAGGTTGTAGGAGCAATATTTCACTTACTACACGAAGCATCGTGTCTTGTTGTGGAAAAGGCTGTGTTGGAGGGGCGAGAGGACACGGCTAGGAGGGGCGAAACGGGTGATGTTGTCGTTGGCAGACTGCACGCCGTTGCCGGCGGAGAGAGTAGAGGGCATGATGAATCTAGGTAATTAGCATGCGAATTGGATATTTTCGAAGCAATTGTGCAACAGTCCAGGCAATTGCCGTCAAGGTGAATTTTGAAGGATAGTGGATATGCGGAAGAGCAATTGAAAGGAAGAAAAAAAAAAAGATCACTCACTTGATGTGTTAAACAAGCCGCTGTGAAATTAGAGAGGAAATAGAGAAAAGGAAAAAAACAGGAAGTGTACAGAAGAGAAGGGGGCAGAAGAAGCTGTTGAGAAAAAAGTGCGCGGGGTGTGATACTCGGAGTACTCGCAGATACACCGTACAGCTCGTCCCAGACCGCCGGATCCGCAGAACAGCTCAACACTTGGCAGTCCCCAAAGTACCGGGTACTGACGATACTGTATCCACTGGTATTACTATGGGGTTGTATATATATAGAGGTACTCCATAGATATAGCTACAATATCTATATAGATAGATTCAAATATTTCTTAAAATACATGAAATGTATCTTTCTCTTGACTTTACACAGATGTCCAATCTGCAAATACCTTATAAAATAGCCGGTGTATAGATAGTCCTCGGGGGATTGTAATAAATCCCCGAATCCCGGTCGATCTCAACAACTAAAAAGCGGTATCGGGGAACCAACCAGTACCTCAAAATAGGTACAATCAGTGGCGCGATCAGAAGTAGCCGTAAGTACTCCGTACTATCTGTGGAGAATCCCAACGAAGCCATCTTTCTTCTCCCCCCACCGTAGGATCGTCTCTCCCTCAACAGGTGGGACCTGCCGAGTTGTACGCTGTAATATTCAGCACAATTCTTTTTTTTTTTTTTTTTGTACGCTGTACACTACAGTACACAGAATTCCCAATTCCCACCTTTTTCCCTATTCCCTTCAGCTCAAAATATCCCACCTCGTTTTCCCTTCCTCTCCTCTCTTCCTCTCACACATCTTTTCTGAAACCACATCACATCACATCATGTCCGCCAAATCTATTCTTGAGGCCGACGGCAAGGCCATCCTCAATTACCACCTCACTCGCGCCCCAGTGATCAAGCCTACTCCTCTTCCTGCCTCCGCAACACATAATCCTCCTGCCCGCCTCGCCTCCCTTCACTTCCCCGATGACAAGGCCGTCAAGGATGTCCTCGACCAGGCTGAAATCTCCTACCCTTGGCTCCTGACCCCCGGTGCTAAGTTCGTCGCCAAACCCGATCAATTGATCAAGCGTCGGGGTAAGAGCGGTCTGCTGGCCTTGAACAAGACTTGGACTGAGGCCCGCGACTGGATTGAGGCTCGTGCCACCAAGGATGTTCAGGTTGAGACCGTCACTGGTGTTCTCCGCCAATTCCTGGTTGAGCCCTTCGTGCCTCACCCCCAGGAGACTGAATACTACATCAACATCAACTCCGTCCGTGAGGTAAGCTTTCCCCGCAGTTTTGACCACAATTGGAAGGGTATGGAAGCTAATGGTCCAATTTTAGGGTGACTGGATCCTCTTCACTCACGAGGGTGGTGTGGACGTCGGTGATGTCGATGCGAAGGCCGAGAAGCTCTTGATCCCCGTCAACCTCAAGCAATACCCCTCCAACGAGGAGATCGCCGCGACCCTGTTGAGCAAGGTTCCCAAGGGTGTTCACAATGTCCTGGTTGACTTCATCTCTCGCCTCTACGCCGTCTACGTTGACTGCCAGTTCACTTATCTCGAGATTAACCCCTTGGTTGTCATCCCCAACGCTGACGCCACCTCCGCCGAGGTTCACTTCTTGGATTTGGCCGCCAAGCTCGACCAGACTGCTGAGTTCGAGTGCGGTACCAAGTGGGCCGTTGCTCGCAGCCCCGCTGCCCTGGGCTCCCCTATCCTCGCCTCCGCTGATGGCAAGGTCAGCATTGACGCTGGCCCACCAATGGAGTTCCCCGCCCCCTTCGGTCGTGAGCTGAGCAAGGAGGAGAAGTTCATCTCCGACATGGACGCCAAGACCGGTGCCTCCCTCAAGCTGACTGTCCTCAACCCCAGCGGCCGTGTGTGGACCCTCGTCGCCGGTGGTGGTGCTTCCGTCGTTTACGCCGATGCCATTGCCTCCGCTGGTTTCGTCAGCGAGCTTGCCAACTACGGCGAGTACTCCGGTGCCCCCACCGAGACCCAGACTTTCAACTACGCCCGCACCGTGCTGGACCTGATGCTGCGTGCCCCCACTCACCCCGAGGGTAAGGTTCTCTTCATTGGAGGTGGTATTGCCAACTTCACCAACGTGGCCAGCACCTTCAAGGGTGTCATCCGCGCCATCCGTGAGGTCGCCACCGTCCTCAACGAGCACAAGGTTCAGATCTGGGTCCGCCGTGCCGGTCCCAACTACCAGGAGGGTCTCAAGAACATCAAGTCTGTCGGTATCGAGCTTGGCCTGGACATGCACGTCTACGGACCCGAGATGCACGTCAGCGGCATCGTTCCCCTTGCCCTCCAGGGCAAGAAGAGCGACGTCAAGGAATTCGGCGCCTAAATTGTTTAATCCTTATTTGATGTTTGTTTGCAGCGTGTGTCCGTTGCATCGGTTTGTGGTATAATGCATGGCATGATATGACTTGTTTTTTTTTTTGCGGGATTCCGGGGGAGATCTGCGGATATGTGGATGTCACCCCCGGCGTCTGTCCTATTTTGCTGAGGGTATGGCGTTACTTCCCGCCCGGGCGAAAAGACCCGGTCCTTCTGGTGCCGACGTACATGATTCTCCGTTGAATAGATTTCATTTTATGTTCCCTCCCGGCGGATTTAGATGTGATGTCCCGTCGGATAATATCAATGATACGAGGCATTTATTGTCCCAGAATTGTTCCCTAAGTAAATATAGGCGGATACATGTGTATCTGTAGAGTAAGTCGTATGTTCAGTTCCAATGTGTGTTGGTGAAGAAAAAGAAACCGCCGAAAAATACCGATGTAATTAATACATGGATATGTACCGTATGTAATTTTGAATAAGCTCAAATCCTGGAAATAAAGACAAGCTCCCGCAGACTCCACACAAGCTCCCTCTGCACCCCGGATTTACAGGAAGATCAGGTCCCATCAGGTATCATCCAGGGACCGTGCCAGCGTTGGAGCATACCGAGGTGGCGACTTCCGCTGCCCCGAGATTAGGGCAAGATAAGCATCGGACGAGCGGGGGCTAACTTGAGACTTATAACAAGATGGGTTTAGTGTCTATTCTGCTTCCTTGGGGTGGGAACGTACTATGCAATGTTCTTCAATGTCCGGAGTAGGTGACTCTTTGTTGTAGGTAGCTGTGGGTAGGACGACCTTGCATAGTACAACATGCGTGTGTAATATAAGCTCAAAGCTTGCAAGCTGTGGTTATAGAGGGACAGAAGTATGAGTACTAACATAAGATTATCGAAGGACTACGTTCTTAGCTCCATGATATACCTGGCAGAGGCGGGTTTCTTCATTGTGGAAAATTGGAAACGCTTTCTATACTGACAGACAATATGTTTTCACGTCCGCTCGTAAAGAAGTCGGGTCCTAGATGGAAGTGGCAGAGCTATGCGAGCTTACATGCGGTGTATTACAAAAAAGGAATAAACGTTCAATAGATTTGAAAGGGCGTTAGGACTAGATCTAAGTTTGCTCTGTAGGGGCTCGTAAATATATAGCCTAGGATCGGATCCTCAGAGATATAAAGATTGTAGATCTAGATCAACGCTATTATAAAAAATGTAGGGTATGTCCCATTTGTATCCCTACACATTTGAATTGTGTCACAAGGCAATTATAAAAGGCAGCCACAAGAATAAAATCGGCTACATATCAACTCCACTCCATAAGCAGTGGAAACACTAAACGGGGCAGTGGATTTCATCGGTTTAAGCCGAGGCGTATATGTATAGACCGATTTGGGTTAGTCCAAATGTGGTCTAGAATGCTCGACATCTGGCTCAACCCTGGAGGTTTTCTGTTGTAGATGTGTACAAGTCTCGAGAACAACAAACATTATACGATCAGGGAATAAACAGTCAAGATACTAGCAAATGTTTATGAATTTCACCTACAGGACATTAAAAAAAAAAGCTCATCGTGAGGACCCTAATTCGAGATGCATACGAGCCCACCAAATGAGGCCTCTACAAAAAACCTGTATCACAACCATTTTGCTTCTGCATGGACTCAAATGTTATTTTCTGATTCACAAATAGGCATTCTCTATAGAGAAGTGGGGTAACTGTAGGTTTCACTTTATAAACAGTCGAGACATCGAAAATTCCCTTCACTTCCCTACTGGAAAATACCAACCTACCCTATACAGGTGTAGTTTTGCTCTATACGGAGTACAAATGAGTGATTCGCTTGATCTATCCCAGCCATGATTCAGTATCAGTCACACGGGCGGCTGCTCGCTTTCACCATTCTTCAAGGTCTCATCCCCACTGTTGTCCTGATCACAACACCTACACACTCTCCTCTACGTTACCTGTCTATACCATGTATGATATGGATCGTGCTCCAGGTGATGTATCCCACTCAAAACCCAGGCTACACATCGACCAACCTGATCGGAAATTCTTCAATCTTCGTCTTGACAGCTCTGGACCTGCTCCTGATCCACCCTCAAGCCGGGCGCGACTTTGTCGACACCGAAGGAGACAAGAAGTTTTTATCCCGTCTATTCCAGGCTTTCAAATTACTCACATACACGCGGGCAATCAACACACCTCGTCAAGCGAAGAATGTCCCACCATTCCCAAATTACTATACCAAGAGAGATCCCAAGGTGATCCCGCGAGATCGATTCTTGGTTAGAGAGACCGCTATTGCTATCTGGCAATTTATAACGCTCGATACACTCAGTGTTTTGGCCTTGAAACAAGCCTTGAATAACCAAGATGAAGAACAGTCCATTTCCTCGGGCCCCCAGGGAATTTCCCCGGACAAAAATGGAGAGAACAGTTGTTTCAGACTCTCATGGCTTGGTTCGTTGTGTCTCGAATCGTGATCAGCTTTTACTACCGCGTCGCTTCGATCGTCTCCGTGAGCCTGGGTGATTCTCCCTCGAACAGCCCGCCGATCATAGGGAGAATGGCAGATATGTATACACTTCGAAACTTTTGGGGGTGAGTCGTCCTTATATCTGTCGACTTGATTCGATCTCATTTTTGTGGTTTAGAAAATTCTGGCATCAAATGCTACGACTGCCCCTCACGTCGACTAGCAATTTTCTCGCCCGCGATGTCCTCGGTCTGCCTCGATCGTCGTTGGAACGATACGTCAACGTTTTCATCGTGTTCTTCCTTTCCGGCTTAGTCCACGTAGTAATCGATAGTGTGCGGAACGTGTCACCAAAGGAACTTGGGACTATGTCCTTTTTTCTCTCTTTCGTTGTCGGCTATATGATTGAAGATGGTGTTCTGGCTCTCTGGAAACGAACACGGGGCTCCCAGAATAATGGCTTACCGGCCTGGTGGCAAAGGGCCCTTGGCTTTTGTTGGGTTATCACATGGCTGGGGATTACGTCGCCTTGGTTCTTTAGGTTGGCGATGCAAAAGCCGGAGGAACAGATGGTTTTGGTTCCGTTCAGTGTTGCTGGGTTTATTAGCCTTCCCGTGCTGAAGAGTGTAGTTATCGGTGGTGGTCTTGTGTTGAAGATTGTATTCGAGGGAGAGATTTGAAAGGACAGGATGTGGAAAAGTTGGATTTGCCCAAGTGTCTCCAGTCAGACCTCGATTTTCTTTGAAGTCCCGAAAGGACCAAATGTATCTAAAGACCATAGGGAGATTTCTCGGCTTTGAGTATGTCAAACCACTTCACACCTAATAGCAAATGCAACATCATAAAGCAGCCTGTAGCTCGCTGGTTAAGATGTCAGCTGATGCCATCCGTTGTGTGAGACTGGCGCCGTTGTTGATCCTCTTCCTGCGTTTCATTGACCACAAGACGTCGTCATTGGCGGGCCAAACTTCTCCATTACCTCAATACCAGAGTATCTGCCTCGGCAAGTACGCGAAACTCGCAGGGACAATCGATGGGTATTTTCTGGTGATTACACATAGTAAGCTTCGCCCCTTTTTTCTCGCCGACAACCTCAGGGATCCCGTTGGCTGGACTCCTGGAGCGAGGGTCATCGAGGTACTTGGGACAAGGGAAAACTCGGCGTTTCGGGCATTTTCCCTGCCGAGGTCTAAGTCTCGAGCGGAAAGTTGGTCAAAGTTGATAATGCTGTAATGCTGTCTAGTCAGATTCCCCCGCAACGGGCGTAGTTGCGGCCTGTGCCGTGATCGTCACATTTCTCGTACGTCGAAAAGGCGAGGTCTGGTCGATATTAACAAGGAGAGTGCTTCAAAATCGGTCTACCTCTCATATATTCTTGCAATCTTTCGAGTGCTCATGGTTGCTGTTCCCGTCTAGTCCGGAGATCATGTCTTTTGCAAAGAGATCAGCACTGGTCAGAGTAGGGTTGCCACTTCTTCTATCAAATGAATATATGAAGTCCATCGTATTTCTGACTGATTAGATGCTTAGAAATGCCCCGGTTCTGCAGCTCCACGAACGCCATATGAGACGGGTGAGGATAGCTTGCAGCGTGTTGGCGACCTTGATCTGCTTCTACTTTGTGGAGCTTGCTATATTGCATATAGCAAGATTACTTACAAACTTGAAAGTTACAAGAGGATAGAATTGAAGATCGAAAGAAATCAGACTTGATTACGGGAATGCGGCTCTGCCGTGGAGCATCTGCTTTACATACATCCCGCTCATAGCAACACCGCCTGGGCAATACCAACTCCAACATGAAAACATAGACCTCAAATGCCGTAAAGCAGAGAAAAACAGAACCCCCTTGGAGACAAGAATCAGGGCCAGAGTGACATAGCTCCTCCGCCGTACACTTGACCCGGCCGTTGCAGCATTCTGACGAAAAGATCCGCAGGGTCTTCTCGTCCGTACAATTGGAGCATCCCTTGGAATTTCTTTAACCACGTATCCTGAGCCAGAGCAGCCTGGGAAATCCGCTGGTTCTCTTCTGACTTGAACAAAGCCACCGGTTCCACCATGCTCGTCTCGACTATTTCAACCGCCCAGTCGTCCAGAAGACCCTCTTCTTCAAGCAAGACGATTGACAAAAGTCGAAGAACCAACTTAGAGGACAGAGGAATGTTGTGCTTCTCAGCGGCAGCTTTCAATTCGGGGTTCACAATCACTGGTGACCGTGAGGATTGCATTCGTCCGTCCAAGTCCACTCCTCGAATAATGTACAGTATTCCGCGAATCAGTCGCCGGCGCAAGTCACTGAGCTCTTGGAAGGGAGTTCCAGGCACACACGCTTTGCAATCGCACGTAAAACCCAAGGCTTCCCGACGCTCATCTTTGGTCTTGGCTTTGAGCTCTGCATTATAGCAGAAGTAGATCTCTTCGCCAGCCTCGATGTCCTTGATGGCATAGAATTCAATGAACGGTCCTGGCGTGATTGGAGCCCTGGCGTTGGGTAAACACGAATGGTTGAATCGTGATCCAATGGTAAACAGTCCTCGGCCGGGATACTCTGCCCCAACAGCGAAAGAGTTTTCGGATAGAATATCAACGAATGATTGAAATTTCTCTGACCCATTATCTCGAAGCAGTAAAACCTGCTCTTTCTGGCTGGGCGACAGTTGCATAAAGGCCGTAAAAATGTTGCATTCCATGATATCAACATGCGACTCCGGAATAAAGAAGAGGGCCTTTTCCCTCAAGATTAGAGATCCTCGTTTAATGTGTTTTGTTGCGAAAGCGCCCCATCCTTTGCCTGGTGAAGGTTTTAACTCGAATAATGCATTGCGAGGCAGTAGGAGGCTGTGGTATGCTAAGAGAGGATACAAAGTTAGACAGGATCTCAAGAAACTAAAGAGGGTAATGTACGATGGCCCGTAGACATGGTGGTGATCGTAAAGGTGATGGATATGGAGATGGAGATGGTGACCGCTGCTGGGGAGAATTGAGGCGAGGCAAGGAGGCGAGAGAAGAGAAGAGACAGAGCAAGGAAAAGAAGAGGAAAGCAAAGAGAGTCGCGGATAGAAGAGACGCTGGTTGTTTGCAGATCTAACAAGAACAACACATATGGAGGAAGTCAACAACCAGAGACTCAAGGAGTTGACTCTTGACTCCCCATGCTCTCCGTTTGTTACCTACTGACCTGCATGGCCTTGGAGATATCAGACTTGTTCCCATGAGAAGCTAATATTTCCCCTGCCCATTTCTCTCTAGGAGAGACTAACAACGCTTGTTGGATATAGATCACAAGTTTGACATAAGAGTTGGTTCCTCATGCAAGTACTTCGTAGGCAAAAGTATGGCCTTCCACTTGGTGACCGTGAATCGAATGATACCAAGTTTTGAGAGCTTCAACGTACAACATCAACGTCCCGGTCAACAAATCGGTGAAAGTAACCGCTCCATATCCATACAGATACTCCACCTAACAAGTAAACGATTAACTCCCAAATCGCTGCATAATGGCATCACCAGGAGGAAACTCAGATGAGACAGCCGGAGGCCGAGAAATACGAGGAAGTCGAGTACGATGTTGGAGAGTAAGATCTGGACCTCTACCTAGTCAAAAGCAGATTAGCTGGTAAGCCTTGGGGACTGTGGGTCAATACATACTGTTCCGCCCATCCCAGTTGGGCCGTACAGGGGGAGGCATTGGGGCTTCGCGAGGTGTCCTTGTCCTTGCCCTCTTGGAACTACCAGTGCCGCTTCGTTGGTACCGATGAAGCTGCTCGACTCCATCTGGGTTGACGGGAAAAGTGGGTGTCTTAGGGTGCCGTGTGACCTGGGCAGAGGGCCGCGCCGGGACATCAGGTCGAGAAACGGAGACAGGCGGAGGAGCATTGAGAGATGAGAGAGCTTGGGACACTGTGTCTGAGGCTGCGGTCTGCATCCGAGACCGCATGGCACGAGCTTTGAGAAGGTTGTAGAGATTGGTCATTTGAGCGAGTTTGTTGTTCTTATCTCGGTACATATCATTCAATTCTTGATTTTTCTTTTGGAGGTCTTCTTGAGTTGATTGCATGTCTGCATACAGACGTTAGTCGGATATCAAAGTGAAGCCTCGATTGCACCGACCGGATAGCTTGTTCTGCAGGGACAAGATCTCTGTATTGGCATTGTGGATGACCTTGTCCATCTGCGTGTTTAGGTTGGCATACTTCTCCGTGAGTGTCTTCGCCCGGTACTCCTGGTAGAATCTGCTCGAGTCAGTTTGGATGTTCCCATGGTGCCATTTGATGCCGAGGAAGTAGGACAAACATCTCCTGTGTGCTTTGATATGCCCAAAATGCAAGTGCACGACCAGCACATTCCATAATTGTGTTTGGATCTAACCCACTCAACACGCTTGTTTTGTAGTCCTCCGTTGGATTTAAGATTGTTGAGACAGCATCATCTGGATTCAGAAGTACGGTCTGACACGCAGGACAGTGTCGACTACTGGTGGTAGGACGAGATAGTCCAAGGCTTTCTGCGCATGCGTGGCAGAAGACGTGCCTGGAAACATCAGGCTCTGACTTAAGCTATACCATCGCGGAGCAACTCACGAGCAGGTCGTCACCACTGCCTTCTCTTTCAACTCTGCCCGACACTTGAGAGAATTGCATCTGAGAGAAAAATCCATGGTGTCGCTGGAGATGGGACGTGGGCGGAGAGAGCAAGAAGTGAAGATCACAGGTTAGTCTCGGGAGGTGTTAATTTAGTCAACCTCAAAAGCAAATTTTGTAATGAAGCAACAACTTGGACAGAAGATATTCGGTATTTGTCTATTGAATCATTATATGTTTTCAGCGAGCTAGAAAAAGAATGTATTTCCCTGAGCATCGCGCCGTGTTGAAGTCATCTTCTCTTCAAACTCTTTCCCGGGCTCATATTCATGCCACAGACTGGCCGGGTAAATGTGCTTGTTTTTCTCGTACCACCGTCGATCTACGACCTTGGTATCTGAGGAATCCTTATCTGCGCCCTCTAATTGATCGTCAATAGGTTGCGACAGCGGGTTATTGGTGGGATCAGCAACCGGGGGTTTGTTAGAATAATCAAACAACAAACCACCAGTTCGAGAAAGACTGGGCACTCGGTTGGCGATGAAGTAGTAGAATTCATAGTGCTGTGTGAATGTCAGATAAGATATCGCCCTCGACTAGTGCAGCTTAGAATAAACTTACATGCGGAACGATGATATCGCCCTTGACAAGCATCAAGTCGTCGACACTGACTCGTGCCCACTCTCGGCGATTATCTTTCTTCGCCTGGGATGCACCGCTGGCACCGCGTACACCCATCTCAGCACCAACCTTCCGGCATCGATCCAAGAATAACCAAACATGGTCGCCTTTCTTGACTTTGACAGCCCCGGCCGGTATACTCGTTCCATCGTAGAAGACAAAGGGAATGAGGATGTCGGTATTCTTCACAGCCTCCTGCATGATCAAGAACTCCTTGCGGAGAGTGTCGCGAGCCAGCGCTTCAGCTTCCAAGGATGCCTTTGTCACGGCTTTGGGCGGAGGGGGTGCGTTGGGATTTGCTTTCATGCGTCGCGTAGCGCTATCCTCGGCGGGTGTTTTCGAACCTGACCGTGATACGCTTGAGTCGCGTGTAGTTACCGCGGAGTCCTCCCCCGTTTCGTCCTGGTCATCCCCAAATGACAACTTGCTTTTCGCAAGAGCCTTCTTTTTCTTCTTTTTCGCGGGACCATCACTCCGGGGAGGTGTTGATCTGTTGCGCTGTGATCAGCTCAAATGAACGGAAAGAAAAGTCGAGACTCTTGACTCACCCGTCAGTTACATCGCCTGTAGAGGGGGTTGCACTTCTTGAATTACCAGATGCCAGTAGCCCCAGAGACTTGTCATGCGCCTCGCGCTCCTTTTGCTCGAGAACTTCCGCGCGCCGCTTGCGAAAGTCGGACAGATGAACAAGACCGACGGTTTGTTCTTTCAGCATCTCCTCAGCGGAGACGCTTTGGCCGGCGAAGGACCGTGGAGTGGATGTGTTACTCTCCTCTTCTGCCATTTTCGCGAGATATTCAGCTTAGATTTGACTGTTGAGATGAGAGAGTCGAGACAGTGACGTCTTGTGATTATCACGTGATTCTGAATTTCTACTATGAAGCGTTTGAAGTAAATTTTACATGATGACTAGTTTATAAAAAGCCTTGACATTCAAGGCAGCACAGTATATGCGCAATTCCCTATCTACCAAGCTGACTGGTTGTCTCAATTCCAACAATCTCTATCGCAAGTTCCAACTTTGAAATCGCGCAAAGGCACACCGCTGCAAACAAGACAAACTCGGCTCCCATGCGCGCGACCTTCGATCTCGATCCTCTTTGATACAACTTTCTGCAGCATTTACCCGTTGAATTGAATTTCAGAAACCATGGACGAAGAAGAAGATGACTTCTATGATCCCGTCGATGCGGTTCCGACAACGCAATCGCTCAACCACACCCAAAATGCAGCTCCAGGCCAACAGCAGGACAGCAATTATATGGAAGACGACGACGAGGTAGAAGAGGAAGAAGAGGATGATGTATGCACCACTCTAACGCCTACCTGAAAGTTGTTTTTCTTACTGATTTTACCTGCAGGATGACTTCAATATTATCACAGAAGCACCCGAAGGCGCACCAGCTCCCGAAGCGTGAGTTAGCTGCCATCATGCTCCTTGCACTCTTACTGATATTTCTAGCTCCCACCCGCGCCATACAACCTTGCGACAAGAATCACAACGGCCATCTTCTGCAGATTCAGCCGGAGTAACACAATCTGCGACGCCATCCGCAACTCCTCGATATGAAACCGCGACTCCGATTCCTGGACACCCAGCCGCAGCCGCAGCTGCAAGACCCTCCTCCGAGAAGCCAGGTTCCGCCTATCCAGCTATTCACAGCTCCACCATCGATGTCAATGCAAACCCCATCCACCCCATGACAGGGAAACCGATCATGTCCACCGACATGGATGCCGATTTCCCATCCGACGACAAGCCCTGGCGCCGACCCGGGTCAGATCTCTCCGACTACTTCAACTACGGTTTTGACGAGTTCACATGGGCAGGATACTGTCTCAAGCAACAGGGCTTGAGACAGGAAGTTGGTAGCCAGAAGAGACAGATGGACGATATGCAGGCCTTCATGGGCATGGGAATGCCCCCGATGCCTGGTGCACCGGGCCCCGCTGCTCCAGCTAGTGCCGCGCCGCCCATGGCCGGTATGCCCGGCATGCCGGATATGAACCCAGATATGATGCAGAACATGCTAGCCAGCATGATGTCTCAAGGCTTGGACCCGTCCAACATGGATCCTATGGCTTTCATGCAACACGCTCAGTCGATGATGCCTCCTGGTGGCCAGCAGAATCAACCTGGATTTGGGGGCCAGCCCCAGGGTCAAGGATTTAACCAAGGTGGTCAGGGTCAAATGGGCTACGGCGGATACGATCAACGTGGGGGTTACGGGGGCCGAGGACGGGGCCGAAGATGGTAGTTTGATATGGAATTCGTATTACTGTGATGGTAGCTTTGGTTTCACCCTTGGAATAATGGGATCTCATGGCGTTTCATGCATACAAAGGGAATGACAATGACAATGAACAATTTACAAGTTCAAGCTTCCGTACAGAGTGCAGAAGTAAAAGTGTAGGTTAGGGAAGGGGTGTACAACAACGTACCTAGATGGACAGCTATACTAGACATATCACTAAAAGTGACAGTGAGTAAACAACAAATAGAATATTGTACATCACTATCAATTCTATAGAGAATGAGAGCATGGACAAGGCTGTTCGGAAGAAGCTCAATGGTTCGGTCTTGGCATTCTGGAAATTTCTCCAGTCCAGATCTTCTTCCCCCGGACCAGTTCCATCTTCTTCCCTTCTCCATCCCATCTTCAACTTTACGATCTCCCTAGGAATCTCCTTCTCTTTCACAATGGTACGTGATATATTCTGATTGATTGCATAATACGAAATTCCCAATTTCCTCACCTCCCGGAGAGCTACAAGCTCCTCCACACCCAACTTTTTCTTCCCTCAAGCCGATCCCGGATACCCGAAAACCCGCGCAACAAGCGCGCGATGCCCAATTCAAGTCGGCTGCTCTATTGAAGAAAACTATTGCTAATATAACCCCTTTTCAGTCTGTCCTCCGCAACATCAAGTCCCTCGCTCCCCTCCTGGACCGCGTCCTGGTCCAGCGCATCAAACCCGAGGCCAAGACTGCTTCCGGTATCTTCCTCCCCGAGGCTGCCGTGAAGGAGCAGAACGAGGCCCAGGTCCTCGCTGTTGGCCCCGGTCTCCTTGATCGCGACGGAAAGCGTATCCCCATGGGTGTCAGCGCCGGTGACAAGGTCCTCATCCCCCAGGTATGTGGTCCAACACTTTCCTCGCAATTCACATTCGGTGTTTGCGAGTATTTGGATGATACATGCTAACCCATCTTTCAGTTCGGTGGTAACGCCATCAAGGTCGGCGAGGAGGAGTACACCCTCTTCCGTGATCACGAGTATGTTCCTTCCCATCCCTTGACTTTCGAGAACAACACTAACATCCCAACTAGTATCTTGGCCAAGATCAAGGAGTAAATTAGTCTCCAAGCCACTATTCTTACACGATTTTGTTTCGCCGCCATCCAACCCCCTCTCTGTCATGTCGACACCAACTCCCCGTTTCGCTGTAAAATCGCGACGGGGATATTGGAAGACCCCTGACGTGTATCATACCGACGCGACGTCACGAGCTTGACCTTTCTCAACGATCTCAAGAACACTGACCAAGAAAAAAAGAACAAAAAAAAAAAACAAAAAATAATAGCAAATCGGGATGCTGTCACTGGGTGATATTTGACATTTGATTGTTTAAGTATCATGTCAGTTCTGACTCCTATCTTGGCCTGTCTTTCTATTTTGCATGCATGAGTTTTTGAAGCGCTGGATTGGCCTTGGGTCTTGCATGTCTTTGTCCACTGTATTTTTAAATTAAACTGCGACTTAACTTCATCCCGGTGGTTCTGCCGGGGTGGGTAGTCGGTAATTGCAGACTTGATCATCTCCTCTCTATTCCTTTTGGCATATATTCCAAATTCTTTGGGTGCCGTCAGTATGGTCTTTCTATATAAACCTTGGAAGTCAATTGTGCAGTGAAGGTAAGACTTGGATGGACTGAATCTCATTATCAATACAGGTTCTCGGCATGCAACATGACATCTGTTTCTTCCCATCTGGACATCGTAATAATAAAAACCCATGTCCCCAGACAACTATTTGAGGCTGATCTGAGTGCTATAAATATCTTCACCGTGAGTCTCATTCTCATTGGAGGCCAAGTGCGCCGTTGATTCGATCGTTTCCGACACCCTGTTCATCACACCTTCGCCCACAAAAGACCCGTATTCCATATCCCGCTCCAAGGGAGTCATACTTATGAATACATCGAAAGCTCTTGAATCTGTGCTCGTGTTGGCAACTGTCTCATGAGAGGGCAGGGGGAGGGGATATAGGTCGAAGCCAGGAAATTGGTTAAAACCACCAACGCGAATGTTATCTAAGATGAGGCGACCTGCGAAAGGATTAATCCCCAGGTCGCGGAGAGCGACTTCGTATTCCGACTCTTCTTCAGTGATGTTCTCCATCACTTCAGGGGGAAATGTGTCATAGCGGAGCCTTCCCATACCGAAACACCATAATACAATGGACGCCGAGTGGTTTGGGATCGGCATTGATAATGTCTTGCACAGTTCCTGATGGCTGCTACAAAATTGAGCAAGCGAACCGATTTCCCTTAACGTGGAGACATTTGCAGCCATGCTGACGTCTGCGTCGCTAGACTCGCAGATGAGAATGACCAGAAAAGCATAGCGATGCATGAGGCGGAAAACCTTTTCCCGGAATGGGGAGTTGATTCCCCAGACTCCATTGAGCCTTTCATTCCTTGGCCCATGTCCTGGAAGATACCGCTGGGTCAGCTCATGAGGCGTCGTCAGAATGAGGCCAGTATCAGGTGCCAGAATGACTTCTGCGTCACAATAGTATCGGGGATCCGAGAGTGTGTCCCCATACTCCCTGTAGATTAGTTTAGGTGGATTACCTGGCCATCCCTCCATATCTCTGATCACTGACAGGTGAGTTCTTAGAAGGGTGGTAGACAAGAAGAACATTGGTGGTGGGTTGAACGCGGATCGGGTCACCATTTCCTGCATGGAGAAGGCAGGGCCGGGCAAGGCGAAAGGATCCGATGAATCCTTATCATTGTCTGGGGGACTGTCGCCAGATGGAGGGTCGTTTGAGAGCTCGCCTTGTCCACTTCTTGTCGATTCTGACAGGGAAAGGGACGATGGATCATGCGATGAGCTGACATATCCTCCATCACTGCCCCTGGTCCGCATGAACAAGGACAATGATCCAAGGCCACCAAATACTGCTTGGGATAATTTCGGGGTCACTGTACGCTCTATGGAGGAAACGTCATATGAAGGCTTGAAAGGGACCTTTCTCAATCCAGTGGGATGTGAATTGTAGCCAAGCTTTGACCGAAACTGCTCCGCTTGAGCAGCGCAAGAGTTTCTCTTGTCCGTGGACGAGATATGATTGGGCATGAAATCGGGGTTCTGCTCGTAAGCAGTTTGGAGGGAAACATGGTTATCGTTTGCATTCTGTGAAGCTCGTGCTAGCTGAGGGCTATTCTGATCGTTTGATGGTCGAGTTATTGCGGAACTCAAATAGATGCCATCTGACACAGACTGCGTGTCCTCATGAATTGTACTCAGAGAAGCGGCCACAATTCCCTTCCGGTCACAAGACATGCCTGTATCCGCCACAGACCTCGAAGGAGCCTCCATCTCTTCCTCTCTCTTCAAATTCCTGGGTGCTTGCGCTTTCTGGCTGTCAATCCCGCCAACGGAGAACCCTTTTCTTGGTCAGAATCAGAGAAACAATGGAGGATGGGGTTTGTGTTTTGTTGTATGGACTGACATCGGACAATCGTGGAGATGCGGTGTTATCAAAAGCAAATGCACTGAACTCACTTTCGGTGGGGTACTTAGTTTGATCAGCTACTTTTACCGCCAATAATCATCTGACAAGCACTTACCTCAGAGCTGATTGCACTTGGAGCGCAAGCTTCACTCCCCTGATCTGGGATAGAGGGAACAGGGTCGGACTCAATACTGACAAACTGATGCACGGTCCCCGAGGGTCCCACGATCGGGGGCACAACATCTCCTGTAAGATGGGAGATTGTGGTAATATTGGAGGATTCCCCAGCCACATTGTCAGGCGTAGTAAAACATTCAAGGCCCTTGGACTGGGAGGCTATTGCCGAATTGTAGAACTCAAAGACATCACGCGTGTTGATAGGGACAGCCGGAACATCAGGACCACTAGGAACAAGCAGATGAACCGAAGGGCTAGGGGACGATAGAGTGGGACTCTGCGCGAAATTCGTATGAAATTCAGACGAAGTGAACATTCTCTCATCTTGGGTTGTGAGGAGAAGAGGCTCGCCTTTAAGCTCAGATGTTGTCACTTCAGGCAGGATGCCACGCCAGATATTTCCGTTGAACGGTTGAAGCTGGAGACATCCACTCAGGAACTCCATATCCTCAGGCTTAGTCGCGAGTCTCTCCATCATGAGCTCAGTGCAGAAGCGTCGGTCGATTTCTTTGAGACGTTCTTCCGGGTGTTCGGGGTTGAGACCCTCAACAGGGGGAGTAGGGATTGCTAGCTCACAAGTCTCGTCTGCATAAGTGCTTGGACAATATCGAGTCGAGTCCTCCGCGATATTGTAAAACCTGGCGTACTCAAGAAGGGTTGGTGGGTTGGAAGCCATTATGGCGAATGAGAGGAAGAAGGACGCGAGAGATTTGTTTACGAGAAAAGAAGAAGAGAGGTGGGAAGAGTTTGGGGTGATAGAGGGTCTGAATTGGGAAGGTACGAGGGACAAAACAACATGAGGCAGGTACGAGATACACAGCAGATACACACCAAACACACCTGGAGAGCTTCGGCCAAGGTCCTTGTGCGAACAGGAATATGTAAAAGATGAATTATGATATTTCGCTGATTCTGATATGTCGCTAATTACTATGGGAGAAAGAATAAAGTCCATGAACATTATATGGCCAACCTAATCGTTATAGTTCGATTGGCGAGATCCATCTTTGTTGACTGCCGGCAGTCCATACAAAGCATGAAGTTCATTCTCTTGAGATTTCCCAGACTCCTCAAACACAGGCTTCTCGGCATGGACCGCAACACGCACAGCATGGCGACGGTGCGGTGTAAAACCATAAGACGCACTGTGGTTGGTAGATCTATTATCCCAGAGTGCGACGTCGTCCTCGTTCCATGAGAAGCGGGCATGCATTTCTTGGGTCGTAGCGATCACATCAGTGAGGAACCGAATGATAGCGTCGCTTTCTGCGGCCGGAATACCGACGATCTTCTTCACAAAACCTGGGTTAAAGAAAAGTCCGTTCCAGCCGGTGACTGGGTTCGTCCGAATGAGTGGGTGTTCGGTGGTGACGGGGTCCCGGCGCACGGGCCGGCCTAGTGCCCGAGAGTCGTTGGCTTGCATATCGGCTGAGTGGAGTGCGGTGAGGCCTTTGAGGTAGCTTTGCATGTGTGAAGAGAGCACATCGTAGGCGGCGTATTGCGAGGACCATAAAGTGTCACCGCCACCTCCTCGGGGTGGACCGGAGAGAAGTTTAAGTGATGTGTAGGATGGAGGTTGAATTTCATAGGTGACATCCGAGTGCCATAAGAAACTTGGCGTGAAGAGGGCACGGTTGTCACCGGAGTTGTCGCCAGTGTAGACGACATGGACGTCCTCGAGACCTGGCTTTCGAGGAACGGATGTAGTAGCGTGCTGTCTATAGTTAGTATATATACTCACATGAATAAACTCAAGCCATCTGAGATGCCTTACCTTGTGTAGCTTGCCCCAATATTGGCCCAATTGACGTTGAGCCTCGATATCGAAGTTCTTCTGGGAGCGGAAGAAGACAACACCTCGGTACGCAATTAGTCTGGCAAGGTCATCCCGCTGTGCATCGTCGAGTTTTGATAGATCCACGCCATGGATTTCGGTTCCGATCTTGGGGTTGTGATCGAAGACTGCTGTGGCGTCCCTCAGTAGATTGCGGAACTTGGGGTCGCCCCGTAATCCCTTGTCCTGGTAGGGAGTATATTCAAGCGGAGGCCAATGGATGTTTGGAAATGAGGGCAAAAAATCTTCATGTGCATAGTTGTCGTGCCGAGTAACTGGGGTTCGGCCGGGCTGATAGCCAAACTTGTTGTCGCCCGCGAGATCTTTTGCGAGAACCGGAACGGTGAACTTGGCCACCGTTGGGGCCACAGTCACCACGGACTCTTCTAACGATGGGGCCATCTCCAATCCAAGTGTATAGAAAGTGCAGATGTATCAGTGCAATAAGACGTATCAAAGTTAAAAGTAAGTTTGGATAGAGAGGGAAGAAACTATTTATATACCAGCTAACAAGCAATTGAGACCAAGTGAGTCAACCCCGGATAACGCCATTCTGGATTATGGATCTCGCATGCCCCGGAGTTCACGGAGATGGCGCAATCTCTCAGATGAATCACCTCAGGCGAAAACAATAGGAAGACGGGAAGGAGATGATTGGTTGATAGACATCGACAATGAGACCCGCTTCCTCTCCCCAGGATATTCAGGGTGATCACGCAATTGTGCTGACGTTGATGGCGAGATTTGCAATCTTCACCGAATGAACATGGAAATCGTTTCTGTTGATATACCACCTAGTTCTCACCGCTGTTTCAGGTGAAGGTATTTCGATGCGAGTTCACTCGAGGTATAGGTGTGCAGTGTGGAGGTTGAGATTAGAAATGGCGCTAAGGAGGCGATCACGCAAGAGTGGCGGATTTGGACGGGTTACTCAGCCTCACTAGTACTACACCGGGGCAGAGTACGTACCATCTCTATATGTAGCATGCTATGAAACTACATATGATATACATTTGCCTGAAATAATGAGGGATCATTCAAACCCTGGAATGTCAAGCTTATGCTAGAGTACAGTACTATCCTTACACTCTCTGTTAATATCGACGTTTGGAATGGCATCTGAATAGCATTGGAGAGGGTAGATTAAGAGGCTCTTATAACACCAATTGATAAAAGTCAGTGCTTCTCTTATCTGGTTTCAATGACGAACATAGCTTTCCTTTTACCCAGTTTCGTGTATATCTAGGGGCAACTGCGTGGGTAAGACGTGGGATGGAACTCGACAAATCAAGAGAGCTTGGGGAATTTGCCTCGCGGAAAGTGAGAGAAAGCCCTGTAGGAGATGGAAAAGAGCAAGGCGCTCGTGGACAGTGGGGATTTGACAAAGGACAAGGTCATTGCCAAGCACAAGCAGCCTCGCTTGTGAAGACTAGTTTCGACATTTTGATACGGAGTATAGGTTAACGTGAGGGATTTCTAAATCGATATTATGGGAGAACATAGAGAGTTCACATGGAATCACACCTAAATAGCTGTGAAATTTCAACACTTGGGAGTTTCAGAGGCATCTGTTAAAACAGAATCATGCAAATTTCGACCGGGTGCGCCTGGCTGGGAACTGATTACAAGTCTGTGGCAGCGCCTCTTGGTCCGGTAACTGCAGAAGTCATCGTACGGTCTTTGTAGTTAGCCATAGCATAATTCTACAAGGGTCAGACCAATCAGAGTTCGGAGTTAACAGATAAACTGCTGGATGTCATGTTTCGCATGCTGAAGATCAGCTCCCATAATAATACAGATCAAAATCTCGCTAAGTTCTCTTCTCTATCCCAGATGAAGCCGACCATCGCCAAGGGACTGCTGCCCAATCGACAAATCTTGTACTTGTTCCGATACATTGCTCAAACGAGTGGCAACACCCATAATTCCAGCCTCAACATCTGAGAGAACACCCGAAAGCTCGCTGATGGTAGACCGGGGTGTCCCCGCAGCTCCCTCTCGAGACTTGGAGCTCACAAAATCGCTGATTTGACGGTTGAGTGTAGCCTCCACACCGTGGAGATGGTCCTCGATCTCTTTGAGGTTGCCAGTATATCTTGTAAGAACTTCCTTCATCTCCTTCGAGCGATGAGAGAAGTAGTCGACCAGATTGACGGGAACTCCATTGACATCAGTTGATGCGTCACCCTCCACACCGTCGGGAAGAGCAAGTGTGTTTTTGCGACTGGAGCGCATAGATCGCTCCGGAATCTGTTGATCCTGCACAGACCACCACCCACCGCCAGAGGACTGGTATTGTAGAGGGAGCTTCAGCGTATCAATTGCTCGGAACGCAACTTGGGCCTCGGCCGCATCCCGTGTAACTAGGCTGCGCAGCGCATCAATGTCACTAGCATCGTTCTCAAGCGCATGTTGCATGGTTTCCAGTTTGCCTTGTACAAATTCGACATCGTTAGGAATTGTGGCACCCTGCTGCTCGATGGTCGGGAGTAAGTCTCCGACCTCATGACACATCTTCATCTGGTTCAAAATGTGCTTGTCGATAGCTTCGATTTGGTTACGGATCTCATCCGCACAGCTCTCAAACTTGGTGGTCGGCAGGAGATTGCTGACGTCAACTTTCACGCCTGGAATTACCGTGCTGGTAGCGGTGCTCTGTTGTAGTGGTTGTGTGGTCTGTGTAGGTGCGGGCTGGCCGAAGAGAGAGAGGGTAGGCTTTTGAGGTTGTTGTTGTTGGGCTGTGCTCTGGCCGCCACCACTGTAGACCATTAGAATATAAGCTATAAGACGAGAGCAAAAGTACGGGCACTTACAACATGCTTCCCGTGGCTCCTCCTGTTAATCCTCCACCAAGTCCACCGCCGAGTCCTGCAAAGGCCGGCTTTGTCTGAGCTTGGGCTGTGGATGTACCACCGCCGAAAAGACCGCCTGTTGTTGCTTGAGTCGTGCCGGTGCCAGCGCCAGCAGTCGGCCCACCGAACAAACTGCTGGTCCCAGAAGGCTGTGTAGTGGTAGTTGTACCTCCGAACAGATTGCTGCCGGTAGTACCGCTCTGCTGTTGACCCCCAAACATGTTGGATCCAGTCGGTTGTGCTTGTGTGGTCCCTGCCGCCGGAGCGCCGAATAATCCTCCTGCTGGTTTAGGCGCTGTCGAACTCGCGGTGTTCCCGAAGAGGCTGCTGGTAGTAGTTGCGCCAGAAGTAGCTGTGGATGTGGCTGTGTTACCGCCACTGTTGATGAGATGTTGCGGTTAGCTTTTTTTCCGTTTCTCTTCTGCGTAATGTCAATGTGATCGCAGCCTGGGAGCCGCGACTAACAAGAGTTTGGGAGAGAAAGTGAAGCGAATCAGAGCAAGGGATCGAGCGATAGGTCTGATAGGTGTAATCAGAGACAAACATGAGAGGGAGTACTGACAACAAAGAAGTGGTGGAGTTTGTGTTTAGAGAAAGTCCACCTGCGGCAGGCGCTGCTGCCTTGGGAGCAAACATATTTGAATATGACAATAGGCTTCAATGCTTGAATGAAAATGGAACCTGTTAATGGGCCCCCTCAATAATAAGAACGAAGCTGCGCAAATGTGATTTCCGGAATGCGCGAAGCTTCTCGGTACTTTATTTATCCGACCCGATATTTCCTTAGCCAAGGCCGTCTACTCATTTTTATACTTCATTTGTATGTTCTTTGTTCGATACTTGGAAACTACATAGCTTAATTTGTATTCCATCGTGAACCTCGCCGAGATGTCATCCCTGTGACCGCTGAAATATATATGTAGCTCGCGGACTTTTGACCCATGTCCTGCTCGACCTATTCTTTCTCGTTTGGAATCCGGTCTTACTCAGAACTTGGGGGTCAAATAACCCTTTGATTAAATTGTTACCATCTAGAAATTTCACCGGAGACAACTGTCTAGTTTCCTGGGCGGTATCTGTCATTATGGCTGATGAGAATGTCAAAGAGTGGACGCCAGTATGCGTGGCATCAACAAGACGACACAAAAGAGAGTTATCAATCAATTCGTCGCGACTCTCTTCGGTTTCACCGTCAATAGTCCAAAGTCAATCTGCCGATGTCTCTAGTGATACATCCACTACCGACCTTGACTATTTCAAGAGTGCAGAATGGTAAGTCTCTAGCTCAGCGACCTATGATCAATATTTATTGACCTTATGGTATACAGGACCCCGGATGGAACGACCCTGTTGACAGATTCAGCGGATCATTCTATCAGAACATGGATTCTGTAAGTTGGCCATGTTCTGCTATTGATTCTTTTACTCACATAGTCAGGCCACCGGATCTACTAGAGGACAGGCCCACCCACCAGCTATCCCCATACTCAACTCTACCCTCAGCGGAGCCGACTTATGCTACCGCAGTATATCCCTTCTACAACCTTCAAGATCCATCTACCACCTTATTCCTCTCATCTGTCCGTGATCATCCAATTCGGTTATCATCAGCCCTTGCTCCTGCATCAGTGGCGAGCTACTCCCTGGTAAACCCAATGACAGAAGCATTTATCACACCACACTCGATGATATATCCATCCACGCTAGGTGGGACCCATTTTCTCACCGGGTCAGATAGCCTCATCTGTCTCTTCGACGTGTCCCGGACAGGAGCACAAGGCCCAGTATCTTCAATGCCGACTATCCCCAGCAAACGCAAGCAGATTGTTGGCGGAGGTATTGGCATGAAGGGGATTGTTTCAGCTCTGGCCCTTAATCCCAGCGGGGATGGTATTCTTGCTGCAGGAACTTTCACCAGACACATTGGACTGTACAGCTCAAATGGCTCGGGTGAGCTCCTCGGGACTTTCAGCGTGGCTAGGACCAGCGCAAACCGTGAGATTGGGGGTCGTGGGGTTACACAGCTAGTCTGGAGCCCTTGTGGCAGGTACTTATATGTCGCTGAACGCAAGAGTGATGGCATTTTAGTTTATGATGTTCGGGTTACGGGGCAACTGCTTGGGCACTTGCGCGGGCGCAAGGCTTACACGAATCAACGCATGAAAATCGATGTTGTTTCATCTGGTCCTAATGGCTCTCACGAGATTTGGGCTGGCGGTACCGATGGGTTTATGAGGGTTTGGAGGAACCCAGAGCACTGTGCAGGAGGGAAGGACCCCGATTGGGAGTTTCAGGTGCATGATGGTAAGTCTTTTGACAACGCCCAAGATGCTCAGTGCTGATGTATGACAGATGCCGTGACGAGTACAATATTCCACCCCATGGGGAGTGTTGTTGCAACCTGCTCTGGGCAGCGCCATTTTGTTTCGGATGATTCCTCTGATGAAGACATTCCAGCGGCGAACACTAAGCAGGCAGATAACAGCCTCAAGGTCTGGTCAATGCCATTTCTGTTGTCAGAAAACAAGATGAATTACGACTCGGAGCCCGCAGCTTGAGGGCCAAAGGGATCCAATGACACACCCAGAAAATGGAAGAGAGGTGACTGTAAAATAGTATCCCTGCAATTCTACCGCGGTTGTCTCCGATATTTCTTCCGCCGCTCCAGAAAGAGGCTTTTTTCAAAGTCGGAGTCTCTAGTAAGACTATCGTAAAGTGAGTGCGCTTGCCTCTTGACACTTAAAACTGAAATGTCTTAGCGGCAGTTCCAGGTTGGTTTCATTACCCATAAAGAACTAAAACAATCATACCCACCTGATATATGTACTGATTATCATGAGTATTTTGATCAACCTGTGAAATTTTGTATATTCAGAAAAGCGTATTAAATCACTGCGTGAATGTAAACTATTTTCTAGCTAGATGCTCTACCCAGTCCACTGTAACCCGTATTGACATCTAAAGCAACATCAATACCACGTATGTACTCCCTCAGGCAATCATATCGGGAATTCAAGGAATTCTAATGCCATACTTCGCATACGGGAAGTCTTCCAGGGTAGAATAGAGCTGACCAAACCCGTCACCGATCTTCCCAGGCGTTCCGGATCCTTGCACACGCCATGCCTGGAGCTCCTCTGCCTCTTTCTCAGCATCAGTCTTCTCTTCCTCCTTGTGGGACCCAGTGGCTCCAGCGAGCACCTCTTCCTCCCGGCCCTTGAAGGCTCCTAGGAGACCGGGGTGAGGGCACCAGGCAACCTGCATGCCGGCACGACGACCAGCTTCGACGCCCGGAACCGCGTCTTCAAACACGAGACACTCCTCAGGCTTGATCTCTGTCTTCCCCTTGCTGCGCAGCTCAATGTTGATGGTCTCCAGCGCAAGCAAGTAAATATCAGGAAGAGGCTTGCCTCGGCCCTTGCCGATGCGTGGATCATCACCAAGAACCTTGTTAGGTTCGGGGAACGCTGAGAACAGCTCTGTCAGATGATCGGTCTTTAATTTGTAGTTGCCTCTGTGCGATGATGTTGCTAGAGCGATATACACGGGCTCGTCGGTTGACTGCGTCGACACAAGGTTGGACAACAGAGTCGGCACACCGGGGAGCGGTTGTGACTTTGGGAAGTAGTGTAGCTGAAGAGCTGATCGCTCTTCGTTCAGCTGCTCCTCGCTAATAGGGAGCTGGGCAAAGTCGTTGAAGATCTTCCCGGCCTAGATATAGAGTAAGTACGCGGGTACATAGCGGTAAATAGTATGAGACGAACCTCCGGCTGGGGGCGACCCTGAAGCTGCGCCTTGACTGACCAGGGGAGCAGGGGTCTGCCGTACTTCTGGAGGATTTCATTGGTGACTATGGTGTACAAATCCTCTGAGTCAATCAACAAGCCGTCCATGTCGAAGAGGCATGCTCGGATGCGGGGGAGGCTGTCAATCGAGTCAATTGATGTTTAACTGTGACAACGATCCACCACCACTTTCTACTCACTCATTAGTGGAAGCCATGGCTGTATCTGTCTATCAATGTCAGAGTGGGATGTTGACAAGGTTCTGATAAGACGTGGGGAATCAACGTTATCAGTCCCGTGATTGAGCCCTTGGCAACATCTCATGTTCTCGCCCGACGACGATCTGCTCACAAAATGAGCAAATCCTCTAATGCGCCTGAGCGCGACGGCAAAGGTGTCCCCGATGATACCGATGATAGTGGTGATGAGGATGTCTTCCACGATGCCCACTTCCCCGCCGAGGAAGAAGCCGTGAGTCGTAACGGTGTTCAAGCTGATAACCGGAGCCGCATATTAACTTCGATCTCTTTTGCGTTAGCAACTCCTAAAAGAAGCCCACGAAATCAAAGCCGAGGCAAATCAGCTGTTTATCGCAAAAAGTTATGACCAAGCCATTTCCTGTTACGACCGAGCTCTCGCTTCCTGCCCGATCTACCTTGACTACGATGTCGCCATAATCCACAGTAATATCGCTGCATGCCATCTAAAATTGGAAGACTGGAAGGCCGCAGTAGACTCCGCGACTGTCTCCATCGAACGGCTCAACAAGATTATTCCGCCTACACCAGAGGATAAGGGCGATGACTCGAAGGGGAAACAAGCACCAAAACCCGACAATAAACACACAGATGCAGTGGTTGAACTATCTGGAGATGACGAGGAAGCCGAGTTGAAGGAACTGCAACGATTGCAAGAAGAGGATGAGCAGAGGAGCAAGGTGATGCGACTTCGAGCCAAAGTCCTCATGAGACGCGCAAAGGCGAAGACCCAAATTGGTGGCTGGGGTAGTCTGCAAGGTGCCGCAGAGGACTATCAGGCTCTTGCTGCCATTGAAAGCCTACCGGCAGATGATAAAAGAGTCGTTCAGCGGGCATTACGGGAACTCCCTGAGCGCATTAATAAGGCGCGGGAGAAGGAGATGGGCGATATGATGGGCAAGCTAAAAGACGTGAGTACTTTCCCCTAATTATATTCATCTTAAGATGATAGTGTAATACTAATATCGGATAGCTTGGTAATGGGATCTTGAGTCCATTTGGTCTGTCCACTGACAACTTCAAGTTCGTCCAGGACCCGAAGACAGGTGGCTACAGCATGAACTTCCAATCTTGATCAGATTCAGGTAGACATGATGGAATCATCTATTCTTTGTACGACGGAACATGCGAGCCCTGAATTGGATTTGTTTCGGCATAATTGCATACCTGGCAGGAAGCCACAAAGGCGTTCTGACTTTTGGTACATTCTTTATCTTATTTTAACAATACATATTTTGACAGTTAGACTGCTTTAATCTCTTCATCTCTTCATTGTGGAGCATGCAGCATATCATGTGCAAGAGTCCATATTGTACCTATCATAGTCTCATATGCACTGTTCCTTTGGATACTAAGAATTTTTACAGTCGTAGACAGAATTTGCCAGCCTAGAAGGGTCGCATCTAATGATTAGTTTGGACAATATTTATTTTCGTGGCCAACTGATGACATTTCCCCCATTTTATTTGTATGCATGCTTTTAGGAGGCATGAAACATGTCTAGCAAGATCTGTATAATTAAGATCATAGGAGTGTGGTTGCCTTTGAGGTCAGGCAAGACTGAAATATATCCAGTCAAGCCGCTGCATGACACAACAAATCCCCGATCCATCCCATTAGACCTTAAAAGTCCAGGCTTCGCACCCAAAAAATTATCCCAAAAACACAACATCGTACATCGCCATGGCTCTTAAAGTATTCACCACTGAATCGATTGGTGCGCAGAGAAACCACATTGCCATCTACATCGAAACCGACCCAAGCGAAGACAGGGGTTGGCTGCATCATGTCACCGGAACAATCCTGAACGGCATGGATTATACCCCCAGGCAAACACCTAACCCGGAGGTATTGCCAGAACATGTGCCAGGCTCGAAGAAGCAGATTGGGACCATTGAGGAAGAAGATCTGGAGAGGTTCCGAGAGGAATGCTGCCTAGCAGTTCTTCCCCCGCGGGCTCAGGTAACGCTCAAGGGAACACGACTGTATCCTGACACTCCACTCTACCGCTGCACCGAGTGGCTGAAGGATGTCGAGGAGATGGCTGTTAGAAAGGGGATCTTTAAGCCTCTGTGATGGGTTAGTTCTTTCTTTGATTTGGTGAGCCTTTGGAGAGATAATGTGATGCTAACTCAACAAATAGCTTATGGGTTCAAAAACACCATATCCGACATGATGCTTACAGTGTAGACTCCTCTATTGGTATCTCGATGGCATTGGAATTAGTCAATTTTGCCTGGAATTTTATGTCTTAAGCGACCGTTCTTCAGAGTGCCATATAGATGAGTAACACAATAGAGTGCTCAGACAGCTAAATAATGGTTAGGTATGTAGGAAAGATTGAAAAGAGATGATTCTTTGGAGTATGCAATTGGAGCCAGGACGCTTGTCTAGGATGTATTCTTTATCAAGTAATAGGTTTCGGTTTCTTTTTCTTCCCCTTTCATCTCCTTTCTAATCTTGTAGCATTGTAGCAAACATGTTATTCCCTGAGCCAGATTCTGTGTCTCTCAAGACAGTGCCTTATCATACATAGATCCTTTCATTGTCTTAACATTTCCTACAATATCACAGTATCATGTCTTGCAATAGTGAGTTCTTTCATGGTAGTAAGCTATATAAGGTCACAAATCCTATCCATTTTCCTCCAACTCACACTGTCCATTGCGCAAGGCTAAGATTATACATCATGGCTTTACATGTCTATACCACCACAGAGAATGGACGCTGGGGCTGGGATTTTTACATTGAACTTGACATGCCCTTCTGGAGAGGGTTTGTTCGGATGAGCTGGATGCACTTCTTGGATAGTGATCAGAGTGGGATAACGCAATGTATAGGTCGGCTCAGCTGCAAACTTAAGTCCGAGTCCAAACTACACAAGATCGCGACTATTGAGGAAGCGGAGGTGCCACAGGTTCACGAAATCTGCATTTCAGCGATTGAGTCACTACGTGAACTGCTCGACTTTGCAAATAGCGATGGTCCCATGGTGCCTGCACGTTTGACGGAATTGCAAAGGCGGTGGTGGTTGTTGGTTTGGAAGACAGCCCTTGAGAATGGGATTTTTACGCCTCTTGACTCCGTACTTTGCATCCCACCCCTCTCTGAAGACTTTTAGCTGGTAGCTGTGAGTTGCGTTAGGCCAGGTATGTAGATAATCAAACCGGCGAGATATGACTGGCATCAGTACTTCGTCTATTGCAAAGATTCCATCCCTTGATAAATTCCATTGTAACCTTCGACCTTCTCGCTCATGTTGTGGAACACAAACTGTGCCAGTCGTGCAGCAGGATACAGTCGCAATCCCGTGGGATTGACGACCTGCATCAATGCCCCGACAGCCCCCTCGTACCCGCTGTCCATAACTCCAGCATGTATCGTCACCCCAGACCTAAACAATGAACTGCGAACAAATATTTCGCCCATCACATCCAAAGGCACGGATACGGTCTCGTTGAATTCCACAAGGTAAGAGCCCTGTGTGAGATCCAAGTATGGGGTTGTGTTTCCCTCGGATGGAGAGAAGGGTATCTCTTCCATCGAGGCCGGCTGGCGAAATTTGTTATTCAAGTCGATGATTCCAGGCGAGGTCCATTTGAGAACGCGTTTCAATGTGAGATCTACACCACACGGTTGGGATTGCAGTGTGGGATATTTGACATTGCGGATGATGGAGCGGGCGATGAGAGAGCGCCCAGGGAGGATCATGATGAGAGTCTTCGATTTACAAAGCAAACAAAGCAAATCAAGCAAATCAAGCAAATCAGCTAAGATGTACCTAGGTACTCTGTACCTGCTTCCGAGGTTGGGATATGGGGAAACGGCGAATTGGAGTGGCCCAACCGAGGAAGGGCCGAATCCTGGAGAAGCCCAAGTTGACTAATCCAATGAGAATGCCTAGGTGGACACAACAGGACAGACCGAGGCCCACACTTGGTCCCTATGGTGTCTTCAATGCCGAATTCGATTCCCGAAATGTATTGGGATATATGTATATGTACTTCTATGTAACCTGTAGCTTTGGATATCGCCTCGAAATAGTGCACTATATTCAAGATGTCAATTTACCGTTCCCCATATCCAGACCTCGATATTAAGTCAGTCGATTTGGTTTCCTATCTGTTCTCGAATCCTTTCAATACACCCCTGGATCACCCTTTGTACATCAACGCTATTTCAGGAGAGCAATATACCTTCGGAGATGTGATCCAGCGTACACGTTCTTTGTCCAACGGGCTTCGGCAAAGTATAGGCCTGAAGCCCAATGATGTCGTGGCATTGCTCAGCCCCAACACAATCGATTATCCTATAGTATGCCACGCAATTATCGGCTCCAAGGCTATCGTTTCTCCGACCAGTGCAGCTTTGACAGCACTTGAGCTGAACGCTCAACTCAAGACCAGTGGGGCCAGGTTCATCGTCGTCCATTCATCGTTGCTGGAGACTGCTCAAAAAGCAGCAAACGGGACATCCATCGAGAAGATTGTGTTGATAGATGGCCAAACACCGGTCAATGGTCAACCTACATGCAATCATCTCGCCAGCACATTTGCCCCCGCTGATTTCCTAGCTATTAATCCGGCCGAGGCAGATCACCAACCCATATTCATCTGCTTTTCCTCTGGAACATCAGGTGCTGCCAAGGGTGTCATTATAACACACAAGAACATCTCATCAAACCTCCAGCAATCGCGCCACTATCTAGATAGTGGTCTTCCCTCCCAGCGGTCCGCCAGAAAATCCGCCGTTGCATTCCTACCCTTCAGCCATATCTACGGCCTCAACCTGTTCATGTGTCAGTGTCTGATGTGGGGCACAACAGTGGCCATCATGCCAAAGTTTGACCTCGACTTGTACCTCAGTTGCATCCAGAAATACCGACCAGACGAGTTATCGTTGGTCCCACCCATTGCTCTGATGTTGGTCAAAGATCCACGGGTCGTCAAGTATGACCTAAGCAGCGTGCGCAAGATCATGTCCGCCGCTGCGCCCCTGACAATTGAATTAGCTTCTGCCCTCGAAGCCAGGCTCTCAGCCATTGCCAAGAAAGAGGTGTTCTGTACCCAGTCATGGGGTTTGACAGAGACCTCACCACTGGCGACTACCTTGCCCAATGACCGCATGGATAAGCGAAACGCGGGCGTGGGTTGCATTGCGCCGAACATGCAGTTCCGCTTTGTGGACCCCGAGTCGATGAAAGACGCAGCCGTCAAAGCTGATGGATCCACAGAGCCTGGGGAAATCTGGTGCCGGGGTCCGAATGTGGTGAGCGGTTATTACAACAACGACAAAGCCACGAAAGAGTCGTACCACGTGGACGAGGATGGAAAGAGGTGGTTCCGCACGGGCGATATCGGTACCATCGATAAAGATGGGTATGTCGCCATCCTGGATCGCATTAAGGAAATGATCAAGTACAAGGGACTGCAGGTCATCCCTAGCGAGCTGGAGGGAAAGCTCGTTGATCACCCTGACGTGGAGGATGCGGCTGTGACTGGAATGTGGGTGGAGGACAAGGCCACTGAGCTGCCGGTTGGCTTTGTGGTTTTGAGTCGCCAAGCCAAAGACAAGGATCAGAAGGCTGTCCTTGATGGGATCCACGCTTGGCTGAATGAGCGCGTTTCCAACTACAAGCGTCTGCGTGGAGGTATTCAAGTCTTGTCGCAAATTCCCAAGTCACCCAGTGGAAAGATTCTGCGCAGAGAGCTGAGGGATTTGCTGAAGAGTCAAGCGCCCAAAGCTCGTCTGTGATTGAATGCTCAAAACTCCATGTTAATAGCCTGCACGTGTATAGATCGTAGAGTACCAATTCAAACCGGCCAATTAGAAATTGGCTTATTCCTGCGTATTCCGAATACTGTATGACTTGACAGATTGAGATGTCCCTACATGGTGCAACCAATCTAATTTTCTCGGTGAAGTACTGTGTACATGTCTCCTATAAGGTAACGTCAGAATGTGGAATCACGGGAGATTTGCACTCGGGGCCCGCGGGTTCCGATCGACCATTTACGGGGACTTTAACCTTTGAGAGAAGCCAGAGTCCATTTTCATCTTCTTTTATCAGATGGAGATGATCGTCTTAAATCAAGTTCGGACATTGGACATATCTTCTTTCATTCTTTCATTACCTTAACTTTTAATATCGCGAGAGCTCACTTTTCTCCTGTGGGGTCGATCTGGTCTTACGTTGATTGCGATTTGTATCCTCACACTTTGACTTGCGATGGCATTATGGAAATGGCCCCTCTCATCTGAGAAAGAAGCAAAGCGACCCAAGTTTGTCGAGTTAAGGTCGTCAAAATGGTTTATCATGTTCGTCGTCGCCTTCGCTACGGGAACGGATATCTTCATGTACGGCCTTATCGTACCGGTCACGCCAACTGCATTGAAAGACAGAGTCGGCATCGCAGAGGGAGATGTTCAGAGCTGGACGTCGATTCTTCTCGCCTTGTACTCCGCTGCTTTGTTGGCCTTTGCGCCCGTTGTCGGGTACATCGCTGATCGAGCCGAGTCCCGTCGGTGGCCTTTGCTGGTTGGTCTCATTGCCCTGGCCGCTGCGACAGCCCTACTATGTGTTGGCACTCATATCGGGTTGTGGATTGTTGGTCGCTTGTTTCAAGGTGCTGCCGCTGCGGTGGTATGGACGGCCGGCTTGGCACTGATGGTAGACACTGTCGGGAAAGACGACCTCGGCCAGGCTATTGGCTATGTTTCCATGGCTATTAGTGTTGGAACACTAGCTGGACCTCTTCTCGGGGGAGTTGTCTATGAGCATGGCGGATATTATGCCGTTTTCGGTCTTGCTTTCGCTTTCATCGCCCTCGATATCGTCTTACGATTGATGTTGATCGAGAGAAGACATGCTATCAAATGGCTTTCGCCGGAGATGACACCGCTCTCGGTACATGGAACTAAATACACGGAAAAAAAATCCGGGGAAACTCTAGACCATCCCAGGTCGCCGACCATTGGCTCTGAGCCCCGTGAATCCCAAACGCCTTCTGCGCCCTCACGGACTGCGTTCGAGCGTGTCGCCATTCTGTTGAGCTCGCCCCGTCTCGTTGTCTCGGTCTGGGGATACTTTATTCTGTCACTTGTCCTGACTTCATTTGACAGTGTCCTTCCGCTCTTCGTGCAAGATACATTCCGGTGGCAGCAAACTGGCCAGGGTTTAGTCTTCATCCCGCTCATGGTACCACACCTTCTAGACCCGCTGACGGGGTACATTATCGACACTTTCCCCAAATCATGTCGTTACATCACCACAGCAGCATTCCTCGCTTCCGTTCCGGTTCTGGTGCTTCTACGTTTCGTCACGCATAACTCGATGCAGCAGAAGATCCTCCTATGTGCTCTCCTTGCTTGTGTTGGACTGTGCGTTGCAGTGGCTATGCCGCCGCTCATTGTGGAGGTCTCCCTCGCCGTGCAAGAAAAAGAAGATGAAACTCCTGATATCTTCGGTCGTGGGGGTGCGATGGCTCTAGCTTTTGGGCTGTCTAATATGGGGTTCGCGGCTGGAAGTTTGATCGGGCCATTCTTTGCGGGATTTATTCGTCAAGAGGCTGGCTGGGGGACGATGGGATGGGCATTAGCATTGATAACTGGCATATCATCTATCCCAGTCCTGCTGTTCGTTGGAGGCTGGATCTTGGGAAAACCGGCCAAGTCAGAAGATGAAGTCCAAGTGACGAATGCCGCACCTGGCCCATGAGTCGATAAACCCCCAGAGATCTACCTGTACAGATACTTCACAATCTCTGTGTACATATCCTAATATATCCTTGCCTGAGTTGGCAGGCACATCAACCTTCATACTTTGGTATGCTCAACATAATCTCCAACACCATAATGGATCGTATCACATGTGCACTGTTATCCCTTTTACGGGATTATCAAAATGAGAGGAGGTAGTTCAAGTATCTCTCATTCCACACAAGTGTTCCCTGGAGGCCTGGGCTAATATAGACTCGATATTTGCTCGGAAGAATATCAGCCGTGTCCCCGGAAGCCATGCCATCCAAGTCGCCCGAGATTCTCCAATCTGGTTTTTTTCCATGCTGACCCGATTCTATTGCTCTCAATATCTACACTGGCGACTCCTGAAATCCAACACCTAGCCCCGAATGCCACATTAAAGGACATCAAGCGTGACGTTCCTATGTGTAAGATATACCTGTGTGCCGGCACGGTTCGAAAAAACCGAGCCCCTGCACTAGTTCGATGGAGCTGTTGTTGATACCCACTCGACATTCAGAAGATAGACGGATCGATGTGATTCACCAAGGTGAAGCCGAATTGACTATCTTGGTCGAGTCCTATTTATAGGGGACCTAAACAATATTAATTGAGGTTCGATATTAACACCAAAAACGAAAACTTGCATAGTTTTTATGCCAAGCTACGACATCATATGCGCTGTGGTTCTGGGTACTCTGGAAGAACTTGCCGCCAATATTGTAGATAATCTCTCATGGCTCTAAAACCATCTCATGTTGAGTAATAGGATTCAAGGGGTCTCTCACATCTGCGAGATCATTGGCGCCAAGGGGTCCCAGCTCAGAGAGCTCGAATTATGTGCCCCAGACGAGGATGTATCTACGCGAGGGTCGGCTGGGAGATTGGCACTGAAACGGATACCACTTACCAGGTTGGATGATCACAGTCTCACCTAGCTGCACAAAATAGAAACAAAGTCAGTTTGCGTCCCCACGGCCAATTCTCGTAATCTGACCGCACCTATTGCTGATTTCATCACTCTGTCTCTTCGATGGGATGTTATCTCTCATATGTCTTGTTAATGTATTAGTGGTAGCAAGATTATCCCGTTTCAATCAAATATGAGTGAATGCCGACACTCCCCACAGTGGTCTCCCATGGAGTTCTCTATAATGAATTCAAAGAAGCCCCTGATAGTGCACCACTAGTAAAGCAGATATCTCAGGCATCGATTGCATCCATGTTCGAGACTTTCCGTGCCTTTGGAATGACCGATTATGGGTGGAACAGCGATCATAAGCACGAACATGAGCCTAAGATGTAGGATACCTTGGTAGACAATTTCTCTTCATATGCCAAGAAGGCGAATCAATATGTTTTTTCCCTAATACTTTTTAGCGCGGGTATTAAAGTATTCTATCTGAGCAAATACCAACTTGTTTTGTGGCGTTTGGCTTGATTAATCGAGATTGAATTAAATAAGAACTAACCCACGAGACGGGAATATAAATTTATTGAGAGATATAAGCAATAAAGCACAGCCACTGCAGGCTTTAGAAGCCATCGTGCCATCCAAGCCTAATCTTGACTAGCAGAAAAGTGGCTAACTATGTAATAGGCACAACCGGGGCCACCTGGCCCTGGGGGCCCTAGGACGTTCAACATCTATAGCAGCGTGGTGGTTAATTAACCAAGTAAATCAACTATATAGGGGTCATATATATACAAAGTGCCTAGAAAGTAGCCTGTACACAAAAGACCGAGGTATAACGTTTATATCCACCGTCATGCACAGTGTTACACAATTTGTTTTCAACACAAGATGTAATAAACACAGCATATGCGAGGGCATCATCGGGTACAAATGCAGTCAATGGGTGTACAACAGCTAGAAAATGCAGCCGGCAATTATAGGAAAAATGCCATATCTATCTTACTTATTCACGTTTCCGCGCTCATCGTCTACTCAATCTACATTGGCTGGCCCATTGGACATTAATTGTGACAATTGCCCTGCACGTTCCTATCTTTGAGATCATCAAGCCAGATGGTGACAAACAACTACATGCCGTCTTGAAACATCAACGAGGTACTACTTTACTTTCGCCAAACGAAATTGACTTGGCGACATTGCCGCTGTTTAAGAAAGCAAAGCCTTTGGATAGTCAACAGCCTACTTGATTTGGTTGGTTGGCTATTATTGCACTACTTGACATATTCCCCTAGCTCGGTATACACACCCTTAGGCATTTGCATGCATCAATCTCCAAAAGTTAGGTTGCTTAGATGGTGAATACTTTGTCGCTGGGAGGTATAGAGGCCGAAGTCTATATTAAGGTTAAGCGGCTCTGCCCGATAAGGTTCCAAGGTTCATCCTTATCATATACACCTGCCCAGGTGCGCATAGATGTGTGTTGACTCTTCCAACATAAAATACAAAGGAAAATATACTATGACGAGAACCTTTTTGATGATTATTACGTTCGACCTGATCACACATTGTTGTTCAGGTTTTTCGAAAGTGTCGAATCCCTCAAGTCGGTGGTCGGCGTTTCGGGCCTCCGTGCTGGTGCCAGGAGCGAGGAATTTGGCTGAAGACGGGGAAATTGTAGATTTGTCGCTTCAGATACACTCCGACCTGCGATGTCTTGGCTATCATTATTTATAAGCGTGGTGCTTGAACACAAGTATAAGACTTGGGGGGGGATGTGTACTCGGTATGTCATACGTTAGCCTACCATTTCCCCCTTGATTTGATGTGTAGGCTCGATCTAGACATCCTGACATTCTTGATCAAAGCAAGGAAATAAATATCAACATATCCAAGTTCGCACTCCAGCCCTCTCCCCTCAAGTCAACTCTAACAATCCTCTAGAAAATGGGAGGACCCTATATGCCTAAAACGGCCTCCATGGGTGGTCGACCAACGATTTCCCTCGATGTCCCAATATGCGCCGTCTTCCTCGCCCTTTTCATCGCCGGTGCCGCCTGCCACATGGCCCTGTTCCGTCGCAACCTCGCAAAAGGCCACAAGTTCATTCCATCGGGCGCCACATTTGGTTTTTGCATGTCACGTATTATCGCAAATATCATGCGCATCGTCTGGGCCTGTCACCCGACGAACATTAGCATTGCAATCGCAGCACAGATCTTCGTTGCAGCGGGCGTGTTGTTGCTATTCATTTTGAACTTGTTATACGCACAGCGTATGTTCCGAGCTGTCTATCCAGCCCCAGGGTGGTCCCGAACACTATCCTGGGCCTTCAAATCACTGTATGCTCTCGTCGTGGTGACGATCATTATGGTCATCACTTCTGTTGTTCAGAGTTCATATACTCTCAACTCAAACACACTTCGCATCGACCGCGATATCCTGATCTACGGTCAAACCTACTTCTCCATCATCTCGTTCCTACCACTTCCTCTTGTCTTACTTGTCCTTCTGTCTCCAAACAGAAAGCGAGTTCAGCAGGTTGGCTCTGGTAGTTGGGTCGTCAAAGTCTTTATCGTCGTACTTGTCAGCTCATTGCTTTGTCTCGGCGCGTCGTTCCGTGCTGCTACCTCTTGGATGACACCTCGGCCTGTCACATCGCCAGCCTGGTATCACAGCAAGGCCTGCTTCTATATCTTTAACTTCACCATTGATATTTTGGTCGTGGCTATCTTCTTTGTCGGCCGTGTTGACCAGCGATTCTGGGTTCCGAATGGAAGCTCGAAGGTGCGTCACTACCGACGTGATGAGGGTGTTGAGAAGAACACACAAGCTGCACAGAATGGAGGTTCTCCTCTGTGCGATGATGAATGGGATATCAAGAGTAGTAGCGTGTCCGAGGGCCTGATTGAAGAAACAAAATAATCTAGGAGAACTACATCTGAGCTCCAAGGGTGTGCCAATGCTACCACATGGAGCCATATATTTTATATGTATAAAATACCTAATGTTTAATCTATGAAGCCCCGAATTAAGCATTGTAGGCTGGAGGCTAGTGCTCCACTGCTACGTACCTTGGTTACATGGTATCTCTTCATCCCAAGTAGTGTCAGGAACGCTTGCTCCAAAGACACCAAACAATGATCAGAGGGCCTGTACTGGCCGCGATGAGGCGTCTGATCTCGGTGGAACACCGACGATTACGAAGCTGTGGGCGACGATCAACCATTTAATAAGATTTATTAACAAGGGAATAATATTGAAATCTAGCCATTTATGCGTATATCTCAGTTCTTATTGATACCAATGAGAGGGCCCTGTTACCTCAATTGACCAGAGAAAGGTATTAATCCACAATCCGGGATATAGCCTGACCACAGGGTGTTCCTGTAGCCTCATGGAACTGGGTCTTGCGCAAATGGTCTTTTATTTTCATGATTGGTATCAACAAGTGGCCAGGCATCGAACCATACAAAATTAAGTAGGCGAGAGCCCTGTTCGATTGCAACCCCATTCTTTCTCCGCCAGTCCAATTGCCTCTCGAGGGACAAAAATGAAATCTATCAAAGGAAATAGTCGGGCGTGCGCCTCGATACCATAGGTTCTCCCGCTCGGGGGCAAGGATCGAATTGTAGGCTGCATAATGTCAGAAGGATATCCAAGAAATGATAAGCTGCCATAGTACTCACAATGTGTATTTCAAATGCTCGTCAATCTCCATAATTGCGGCCTGGTTGCCGCAGCGGTAACAGTAATTTGGTGCTGTAGTCCGGTTAGTGTTTGGGTTCGTCAAATCTAGCGACGAAAGTCATACCTGAGAAAATAGTGACCACATTCCGGTCCTGCGACCAGTTATATCCTTCCATCACCAATTGATGGGCACGTGCCACCAGAGTCAAGCCATTGTTATGGTTGAAGGCCTCGGAAATGTCCTGTCCGAACGTGTATCCAGCACCTCGGGGGGAGATTCCCCATCCGCATCGGTCATCGGGATCACTCCAGAGCAAGTCACACATAGGACCTTCGTGGGGAACTTCTTGGATACGATCAAGAGACCGAATGTTGTCAAGAGTGTCAATGGACGGACTCAGTCCACCGTGAAGACAGAAAATCTGGTTTTCGATGAGAGCAGTGAGGGGAAGGTAGTCGAAAAGGTCGGTGAAGTATTTCCACACGTTGGCATTGCCATATTTGCGGAGACATTCGTCATAGAATCCGTACACCTGTGTGATCTGTCGGGACTCGTGGTTTCCACGAAGGATGGTAATACGGTTTGGATAACGAATCTTCAGAGAGACCAGGAGGGTCACTGTCTCAACTGAGTAGTACCCACGGTCGACGTAGTCACCTATATCAAGAAAAATCAGAAAACGTTACCCCACAACGCGTTCATCCGACCGTTGTCCACTCACCCATGAAGAGGTAGTTTGTATCCGGGTTAGGACCGCCAATGCGGAAAAGCTCCATTAAGTCATGGAACTGGCCGTGTATATCACCGCAGACTGTCACTGGGCATTTCTGTCGGGTAGAGTCAGTGGGCTGGACGGGGAAGATAACAACCCGACCGAGAAACAACATACCACTGGCTGCACATTGGATTCCTCCTGCAATACCTCTCTTGCCTGGAAGACACATGAATGATCAACTTGAGCTCATTCTCATCAATCTGTCAAAACAAGGAACCCACCCGATCGCATAGCCGCCGCACATCTTCCTCCGCTAATTGCTTGCAAGTCATCAAACTCTCGATCCAGCCGTCCAAAGTCGGTATGGACCCGGGGTCGCTTGTTGGCGACAGGTGGTGTGGCTCAGGGGACCGCGCAGTATCGATTTCCATGTTGTTATCCATTGCGTCGGTGTGCTCAGCTGGCTGAAAAGGAGGGGCCAGCTGGGGAGGGGCGGTCTCGTGAGAAAACGGATTTCGTGGATGGGCGCAGGTATCGTGGGGTTTGGAAAATATGTGGGATAAATACGCTCCAGATGAAGATTCAATTAAAAGACAACTTCCCAAGATTGATTCAAGGGATAAGGGGATGGATCGGGAACGCGAGAAAGGGAGAAGAGATGGGAGTTCGGGAAGGTCAAGTTGAGAGTGGTGAACAGAAGCGCCACACTTCAGCCACACACCGCTTTCTCCAGTGTTGTCGACGTAATTATCAACTACAGGAGGACTATGGAAGAGAACGATGGGGTTTATATCTCAGGTGGTTTATGTTTAAACCTCTAGCCAGACAATAAATTGAGTATCTTGAAAGATGTTCCACACATTGCGCCCACAAGATACAGAAGAAAACATGTCAAAGTGGGCCATTGAGACATGACCATAGCTTCTTGTTATTCATGTTCAATGTTGAAATGGATCTGGGTCATTTAGGAACAAAGAAGCTGCTTTTTTGTGGTAGTTTCACTTTTCTGTCACTCGTTAGATAATATCTCCGCCGAAGCCACCACCAAAGCCACCAAAACCACCCCCACCTCGTCCATTATTACCATAGGGTCCCCGATTACGACCGACAGGTGGCTCACCAGGTCCTACAGGGTCATATCTTGCGCCAGGAGGTGCACGGGGGTCATATCCACCATTACCAGCTCCACGTCCACCGAAGAGAGGGTCATCAAAGGTAGGATGCATACCCCCGCCACCTGGACCAAAGCCAGGGCCCATAGACCCACGCAGAGGATCATGGGGACCAAGTCCTGCTGGGTAGAGGTCTCGTTCCCCAATATTGTACGGGCTTCGGCCTCCAAGCGCCCCTGGATAACCTCCTGGATATCCCCGTGGGGGCCGATTGATGTCAAGTTCATCTTCAAACCCGGGTGGGGCAAAGTCTGGTGGGTTGGAGCGGCGGGGAGCAGCCGCTAGGGGGTCATCGAATGGGCGTGGACGGGCAGGCTGGGGAAGGGAACCGTCCTGGAGGATATCCGGTTGTCTTTCTTCCTGTAGCCTTGCTCTGGGCGGTTGGCTTGGATCTTCATACCCCTCCTTGTACAAACCGGGCGCAAGCTTCTGGATGACGTTTATCTTAAATAGACCAACCAAATCGCCTAGTCGGGCTGGCGAGATGAAAACATCTCGCAGGGATGCGGTTATATTCTCCGAGGACGAGAGAGGGAGCGCAGTGGCGGAGATGTAGTCTTTGGTGGGGATGTCAAACGAGCTGGTCCGGTCATCGCCCAACGCCAGTGCAAAAATCACTGCATTATTTCCCAACCGACTCACTTTGAGTAGATACTGCATCGAAGACTGCGAGTGTGCGTACCGAAAGGCAAATGTATCGTTAGTGTTCCATTCTGCGGGGAGGGATGGTGTATCTGTGGATGCTTCTGTAGGAGTTAGTAGTGATACCGACGAAATCGAAACAGATTTGATATACCTAAGTTATGGTCTTCGCTGAGACCGACCAGTCTGAAGTCTACTGCAACCATGCATGCATGGCCAATCAGAGCCACAGCCTCATATGGTGTCTTAAGACTCGGCTGTCCATCGCCCGCGGGCTGGATAGCTTTCACGGCAAGGTCAAGAATATGATCCTGGCGAAGTGCATCCACTGGAGCCATTTCTGACAGATTTTGTATATCTCAGATGTGCAATACTGGATGGCAGATAATCTGCAATATCTTACAAGGTGTGGTGATGATGCGGCTCGTTGATGCCCAAAGTGACCTCACTTGGAGCTAGCCGTCTTGGGAAGCTGTGGCGTCGGAACAAAGATTTCCCGCTCTAGCTATCAGCCCCACTTATCTTTTCTATTTTTGGCCAGGCCGAGAGCTGCATACAAAACATACAAGCTCTGTTATGTTGATGAATGGAATAATTTGATTGGAAGATTCACTTGAGAAGCTGCCCCTCTATAACATTGACTTCGGGAAATCCTTCATTGCCTGCCGCACTCCCAGATCGGCCAAAATTTCCTCAGTTCCACCCAAGATGGCATCAAACTTGTATGTGCGATGGAACATCTCAATGAACTTACCCATTCCTGACTGAGTGATACCACGACCACCAAAGATGTTCGTAGCGATACTGGCAATTTCACCAGCGGCTTGGGTACAGTGTGATTTGAGCAGTCCAATAGGTCCACCCAAATGCTTCGCTTGCTGGGCATATGTCATGTTGCACATCTGGTAGGCGATGGATTCAAGCCATGCCTGGTTGGACTCAGCGAGGGAAATCATGCGGGCAATCCTATTGAATGTTAGAAGAGATGTATCGGCAAGGAATAACACAGGAGATCAAAGACTCACTTTTGACGAATAACTGGTTGTTCAATCAGCTTCTTGCCAAAGACGATGCGCTGGTTGGACCACTTCAATGTCTCTTCCACAACCATCATAGACATGCGGACTACGGCAGCCACCATCATAAAGCGCTCGTGGTTGAAGTTGCTCATGATAACGATGAAACCCTTGTGTTCCTCGCCTAGGAGATTTTGAACCGGAACCTTGACGTTTTCAAATTGTACAAAAGCAGTGGCAGCGGCAGTCGAGTATGAGGTCTTTATTTGCTTGGTCTCAACACCTTCGCCGCGAGGGATCAAGAGCACTGAGAATCCCTTTTCGGTACGGCAGCCGGTGACAAAGTAGTCGGCGAACATGCCGTTTGTGATCCACTTCCTAGGCATTGTTAGCGCAAATCTCTGAAAAGGACCAGCAGGTGTGATCCGACTAACTTTGTTCCGTTCACGATATAATGCTTCCCATCAGGAGTCTTCTCTGCGGTAGTCTTCAGACCCGCCACGTCGGAACCAGCAAAGGCCTCTGTGATAGCCAAGCACATCTTCTTCTGACCCGACAAGACCTCGGCATTGAGGCGCTCCTTCAGTACAGGATCATTCAGCCATTGCTGAACAGCTGTCAAGCTAATAGCCATACCGGCCATGTTTCCATCCTGGAAGCCTCTGGCATTGGCACGGACTAACTCTTGTACAACAATCATGTCGTGGAGGTAATCAAACTCCTTTCCATCCACAACGCCACCGAGCAAGGTACGGTTGTGTAGGTGCTTTCCAGGGCCCAGTCGCATAGCCAGAATGTTCGTCTCAGCCATGCGGTTGATTAACTCTTGGCTGATATAGGTACCATCCTGCTCCTTCTCTTGCGCTTCGGGCGTCACATATTTATCCGTAAACTCCCTGACAGCCTTTTGTAGGCGTCGGTGGCTCTCCTTGTAGTAAGGGGACTTGAACTGGGGTCGCAGCCACTGGGGTTCAGCGTAGGGCACAGGGCTCAAGCCTCCAGGAACGGGCACGATAACCTCAGGTTTTTCACCTTCGATGACACCAATGCAAAGTTGGTCACGATATTTCTCCAGAACCTCCTGGCGGTGCAGGTTGTAAAACTCGGATGTTGCGTCTCGGCCAGCAACCTGAGCAAGTACGACGGCACCACCGGGGTGGGCGTCGACAAAGTCGGTCAAATCATAGACCTGGTGGTCGATGATGCACCAGAGGGAATCCTCGGTGTTGTGCTTCGCAACTTCTGCCCGTGTGAGAATTTCCGGCATATTTGAGTATAAAAAAAAGAGGAGAAGAAGGGGGTGCTACTAGTAAATACCCCAGATTATAAGTCGCCAATCATGCCGCCGCTGATTCAAATTGAGCCGAGGCCCGAAAACACCTGATGTCTCGGTCGGATATCCTGGCTGCAACCCCAACAGGCTTGAGAGTACCAAGGCATTGGAGCAGCTTCTGATTAGTGATCAACATACGATGCATCATGTTTTCGCCGATAGGTTGTTGAATTATAACCAGCGAGGGCGTTCATAGGCCACACCCCGCCCGTGGACATGCGATCGACACGTTTCAGTTTGGGCTTCTAGTCTGGAGCTACACAGAACATATGTTGTGTTAGTATATCAATCTAGGCAAGGGAGAATAATAGAGAGTCGAGAGCCTGTTATGCATGGGAGGTTATCATAACGGTTGGTCGGATCATTGACGCCAACCTGGTTGCTAAAATATATCTTGAATTACTGGGAAGTCCGTCTATGGGGATTACAAGCGAAGTGATAGGGATAATTGAATAATTGAAACGTATTGATATGTACATCTTGACATTTCGTATGCTTGTACGCCATCATTAGTCCCGCTTCGAACGACCAGCCTTGATATCTTTCATTGCCTCATCGATTAACCACGCACAAACAGGCTGCGCATCGCTTCCGACCCGCCAACTGCCTAGCGTAACGCCGTGCTGTTCAAGCACCTCGCTTGCGCGATCCCAGCGACGTCGCCATAGTTCCTCGCGCTTATTAGGTAGGGGCACAGGTGGTACACCCGACTCGCCATTGGCCCCTGCTCTTCCAAGTGATTGATTAGATGAGGACCCCGAAAGGTTCAGTCGGTCGCTGGCATATTGTAACCCTTGGTATGCAGCCTGGGCAGCTGCCGCTGGGTACGATTGAATGCCACCTGTAGTCCGAGGCGGCGTAGTTGACGAACTGGAGGAATTTGAACTGGAGGTCGACGACTCGGTGTTTACGCGACGCGGAGGGGGCTGAGGCGGTAGTGCCTTGGTGCGTGTAGCTTGCGATTGATTTCGAGAGCCCGCAGAACCATCATCGAGGCCTTTGAGCCAAGAAGAAGGGTCTTCATTCGTGGACGTTCTAATGCTACTCTGAGAAGCTGAAGGCGAGGAATCCAGATCAATCAATGAACCTGTCTTGGGCACTGCACGTCTGGGCGGCACAGGCGGGACTGGTTTGCGCTTGGGGGGCTCCTGGACTGGCGTCGGTTTGGAGTCTTTTTCTGGCACATCAGACTGCATAGCAACGTTGCGCAGAGAGGACGGTCTGGAGTTCTTCGCCAGGTCAGCTGGCGTAGAAACCATGCGTAGTGCAGATGGTTTGATTGGTTTCGCTGGACGTGGCCTTGGAGTGGCGGGGTGTGTAAGGCCCGATGGAGGTGGCTGATCGCCGATAATGAGATCGGTGAGATCAATCAGGTCCTCAAGGTCAAGATTGGTTGGATCTGGATCATGATGGACTATGGGCACCGTAGAGTCAGCAGCAGTAGTGCCACCTCGAGGCGGCAGCGCCGGTCTGTTGGTAACAGCGTCCGAGTGATCCACCACATTTGGTGAACTGCGACTGCGTTTAGACTGATCAAGATGGCCGACAGATTTGTCGAAGAACTTTTGGGTTTCCGAGGTTGTAACATCACGAATGAAGATGCCTAGGATACGGCCAGGGTTTGCCAAGACAATATCGGTGTAAACCTCCAGATCAGCTTCACCACTGTCACCGACAAGGATGAATTTTCGTTCTGGGAAGTCGCGCAGAATCTGTTCTAATGACCCCCGTTTCCTCTCTGCAGTGGGCTCGAAGATTCCTTGAAGCATGCCCGAGTACTGTTTGAGATGGAAGGAGCCCGGAGGCAATCCTACCATTTTGAAATATCGTTCAAGTAGGGGATACAACTGCCAGGGAGCATTTGACACATAGTGAATTTTCACACCCTGATCGGCGAGTTTGCAGTACCAATCGCTGACTCCCTCGACTGTAAGTTCATTTAATTCACGGACGAAGGTGTTTCGGAACATTTCTTTTGCTCCACTTGCAATGGCTGAGTGCTTAACTGTGTCATCAATGTCGCTGATCAAACTGATTCCAACCGGATCAATGACCTCAATCGGCCTGACGACGGAGAGGTCTTCAGATGCCAGCACCCGAATATGAGTTGGCACAAAAGGCAGTGTAGCACGCAGAGTAAAATGACCTGATTCATCTGTCGTGAGATTTCGAGACTTGCTCTCATCGTCGTTGAAAAAGAACGCTGTCACTGGCATGCTCCCAACTGGATTCGTCAAGAACGGACGAAGTCTTTCCATCAGATGGGCATTTGCAATAGATAGTTGGTCTTTACTCAATGGTGCAGCATGATGTTGTGTTTGCTCCGCATGCGAGCCTTTCCAAGCCGGGTCTGCTTCCTTCTCAGCATGTGCGACTAATGTTTGCATCTCCTTATCGATGTATTCATCATCTCCCTTTCCAGAAACCTTGTCGTCACTTTCATTATTTGCATTTCCATTTGCGCTTGGTGCAGAGATCCCGCTCAGCTTCCTGGCTAGTGCAATCATCAACCGGTGTTTCCGGCTCATCGGGCCCCGGCCAGGAGAGTAAATCCAGCCACGCACGTCAACGGCCACGACTGCATCTTCAGTCTCTGTTGCATCCCATATAGGTGTGGGTGGTTCATCGTCCTCATGAGCTGTACCCCTGTATTCATCGATAGTTTCTGACCATGACGCCCGTCGCGAACGTGTGCTATTATCGGAGGTCTTCTTCTCTGTTAATTTCCTAGCATAACTGGGAAAAACCACCATCTCCTCGTCGCCCGACCGCGAAATTTCCACATCCGGGAAGGCACCAGGGGTACTGTAGTAGTCCTCATCGTGTTCATTCCTCTGCCCAGACCATTGTGAGGTGTAGGCCTGGCGTAGCTCATTGGCCGCTTTGAGATAGTCGTAAACCTTCTTTCGGCGGCTACCAGAGGCAGCAGAACCATCACCATTCCCTGGCCCCCATGTTGATGAAAGTCCAGACTGTGCCATCGGGTCTATCGTTGTGACCTTCGGTCCGTGGCGGGGTTCTCCGTTCGACTTCGGGTGCCCTGCAGCTGGGCTTCTACCAGCAACTGCAGTAGATTTCCACGGTCTTGGCTGTCGCCGGGTTCCGAGAAGATAAGTTACAAGGCGACCGCCAAGTCTGCTATCGCGCGTAGCGAGTCGCGCTTGTCGCTGGACGATCGCTCGATAGACCCGCGATTGGGCTCGGTGTCGGAGCGCGGGGAGGGCCTCGTGCCGGATGCCCCAGAGACGGGAGTGTGCACGTCTGGTTGCGTGTGTGCCAACTATCAGACGAAGTATGTTTGAGAGCCTGCTGGGTCGAGGCTCACGAGGGAAGGAAGGGAAAAGGGTGGTAGGCGGGCGTCTGAAGAGAGAGGGCCTCGACCGAAGTATTGGCCAACGGAAAGGTGATTTAGGCGCCAGGGTATCGTGTATAATGTATCAATAAATAGTTTTTTTTTGAAAGAGAATAGCCAAGTTCAGTAAGGCTGTACGTAGAAAGTTGATTCCGGGGGAAGAGATCGGCCATGACGATGATTATTCGGATGTTCTCACCGCGTTGCAACCGAACATTCTGGCTAGAAATATTTTATATCTAGTTGGTTTTTTTTCATATGGAAACCTGTTCGATTAATTGAATAATTACGATGATCTACCGGTTTTTTTCTATTTATATATAACCTATGACATAGTGGTTATCGAGGGCATGCCCTTGCCTCGTGTGAGGCCCATACAGAAGCAGAAGCAGAGTACCCATATGCCATGATGGGCTGTATTATTGATCTATGATAGAGCCATGAAGCCTATTGCTAATTAGGTCCTGCTCACTAATATAGAGGAATTACCCAATCATGCACTGTCCTCGGCGTAGTTCACTTTCTTCGCGCGTGAACTTCGTCGAGAAGGTGATATAGAAGCTGGAGCATTGTCCAATTCCGCCGATGCCTCTTCAGTCTCTCCTGTATTTTCAGTCACTTCAACCTCTTCAGGCTCTGGGGTAGATTCAATCTCTGAAGCCTTCCGCTTGTTGCGAGCCTTGGTCGACGGACGCATCCGTCTCGCGGGCTTTTTGACTGGTGTTTCAATTTTGATGGGTATATCTTGGGGAACATCGTCTGCAATGGGCTCAATCTTAGCCTTTTTGGGGGCGCCTTTCTTAGGGCTTGGTGTGGCTTTGGGCTTCACAATTTTTTTGGCCGGTCGGAGCCATTCTTCCATGCCCTCGGGCCAGTAGACTCTGCCATCCGGTCCACCCATTCCGACTTCTTCGTCTGGGATGGTGCGCGGCGGTGGCATTGAGCCTTCTAGGTCCACAAAGGCCCCATTTTTCTTGGACTTTTTAGGTGGTTTGTGTGGTTGGTTTTCGTCAGGCCGCATAAAGGGTATTATATCGTTCACAAGATTGTAACCGGGTAGTTTGAAGTTTCTCATCAACTCAAAGACGGCTTGTTCTTTGTCCTTGGCCTCAATCATAAGGTCCATGGTAGGCGCACAAGGGGGCAAGGTAGTGACGCGGTCACTGTGTTTTCGCCGTTGGCGTGGTGTGATGGCGCCGCTAGTTTGTTCGGAATAATGCATCTTCTGGGTGATATTCTTCCGAGACCATGTTGCTGATATACGATCGTAGAGTGGTATGATGTCCTCGGTGCCTTCGCGGACCTCGCTGGCGTCAAAAATGATATTATGGTGGTGATAGTCGAGGACAAGAGGAATGTTGAGCTCCTCGCAAATGGGCAATAGATCATGAACAGACCAGCTAACGTCATCATTCTCCAGAACCAGCCGATTTTTGATGTCCTGTGACAACGCGGCGTAGTTCTCTCGGAACCGGTCCAGTGTAGCAGCCTTATCACCAAATACTCCACCCATGTGTAGGATCATGACGGCATCACGGTCCTGTTGTGGAGGAAGCTTGAGTAGCTGAAGCATCTCCGAGTGATATTCGAGGTCACGAATAGAATTCTCGACCACTTCTTTCCTTGGTGATCCAAATTGAGTGAATTGACCAGGGTGCACCGACACCCGGTGTCCGAGTTCCGCAACGACACGTCCTACGTCTGCTAGCGCCTCCGAGGCAAATGGCGCCAGCTTATAGCCATATTCCTTGTGACTGGCAAATGGGAACATCTCACTGCTGATTCGCATGAACTTGATGCCATACCTATCGTTCCAACGAATGATTTTGGCCAAATCGCGTACATTCGCCAAGGCGAGCCCCTCGACGAAGGCTTGCCCGCGTGCAACTTCGGAAGGTTGGTTGCGGTCTGGACGATTCTTGACCGTGTGTGCGGGTTGGTCGGGATTTTGGAGTGGATGTCGATTTTCGAGTATAGAGGCGATTCGACAGGTCCGAGAACAGAATACGGAGGGTGTTGAATAGCGGAGGTAGGTATTCAGACAAGCCTATCCAAATCAGATTCCAGGACCATCAGCGGGGGGCCATGTCGTGCGCAGTACGGGCAACTCACATATCCTAATCGGCCTTTCCAGGGAAGGGGAAGGTAGCTGCTGTTCACCGGAGGCGGCCGGCCAAGCGCCTCTTTTAGCTCTTCCGCATCAATGGGGACGTCTTCATCTGATTCTGGATCCAGTGAGGCCTCTGCCTGACCCGCAGCCAAAGGTATGTCGCCATTGAGGACATCCGCCGGCTTCGCCTCTAGCCCAGATGTCTCAGTTGCAGTAACCATAGCTTGTGGATCCAAATATCTTGATTCTGGGCCAAGATGCTGCGAATATGCACGCGATGAGGCAGATCTCGATGTTTTTAGGGGATGCGTACGGCCTTTTCGGGAGAGGATTGAGAAATGCAGGGCGCAGTGAGCAGCATGATAGGCATTGTGGATTGGGGCGAGCGAGGTTCTCGCCACAGGAACGGATTCAGGGATGCTCAATGACGTATGTCGACCTTGTTGGCTAGCTTCCAAGGAATTGACATGGAAAGACAGACCCTGCAGGAGACGAGCAAAAGACCGACACATTCAGCGGACTTTTGGAGCTCAATAAGTGTTGGGGATTGGGAGTTCGTAAGGGCGGGATGTTCCATAATGCGACGCGACTCACCGCGGTTCAGCGCGACATCAAACCTCCAGGGCTATTATCAACCCACCGATTTCTCTCGGGCTTGCTCAAAATCCAGTTGTGATCTGTAACATGCGATATTGTAATAAATGAACCCTTGCTTTGACTTCTCTGGATTATCCGCTTTGAATTAATGAGTCTCGTCACCGACAAAAATTGGAACATTGAACCTAGCCGAATATAGCACCTGTTCCCATCTGGGTTCTCATTGTATAGTCGTTGAAGAAACGGACTAGTGAATCGCAAAGCCCATAAATTAGCCTGGATCCCAGGCCCCAAGCCTAATCCCTCGTACGCGATGGGCTTAGACTTCGAAGCCCAACCCACAGCCCATCCGTAGGGCCTTGTAGGCCCCTAGTATATTGTACAGCCTATTGAGGGGGCTCAACTAACATCTTATAACCGCTGCATTCTACGCCTTCCCCTTATTACATAGTTTCTAAATCTTTGGAGTTCATAATATTGATAACTCTATGCGTATCTCTTTCGAGTTTGAATAAACCCCGACGGACAGAGGTCGAGATGTCACGCAAGTATTAATACAAATGTAGACATACAGTACTTTAGATCTATACGGGAGTACTACCACTTTCTTAGTGAACCTCTACATGTTATAAATTCTCCAAATGACACTTTTTCTCCTGCTTTGAAACGTTAACCTGTATTCATTTACTATATCTAAACTAATGATAAGATATGAATGATCCTTAGAAGGCTAGAAACGGGGTCTCTATATATATGGTGATTAAAAAGAAATCACGTTTTCTAGAATATTTGTATCATATGGTGTGCTTTGGGGGCTCTAACAAACCCCTGTTAAGGGGCTAGTGGACTTTCACTTCCCTATAGCCCACCGATGGGCCCGAAGCATGGGCCCGAAGCTCAGCCCATTTGCCGGTTAGGGCTGGGTTGTGGGCCTTGTGGGCTTTGCGGAGCGCTATCGTCCATCACCTTTCCCCTATGTAAATTGGCTTGATATTTCTGAAGTATTTTTTTAACTATCACTAGAAAATTACAATAACACTATAGTAAATCAAGGCCAGGAAAGATGACCATGGGCATTAGCGCAGGTCTGTGTTACTAAGTCCAAATGCTGTGTCCCCGTAACCACCTGGTGAAACCCCAAGTCGACCATCGCACATAGTTTACTGGGGTTATGCTTGTGCAACATTGACATTGTACAGACACGTGCATTGACGAGTCTGTCCTATTTGAACATACCTAGGTATCTAGAGCGTCGAAGGTACCACACGTGTACGACGTTCTTGGGTACTAGGAGCTGTTGACCCACTTGACCTTCAGCGATGTACACGTCTACATTCAAAACTCACGTCGATCAACTACCTGAGACTATTAACCTTTGGCTGGTACTAACTTACCCCCCATGAGGTCAATCGCTCCCTCAAGGATTCAAAATCTGATGCGAATCCTCAATTCTTGAACAAAAATACCAGAGAGTATACATCAGATGCAAGTAATCGGCCAATCGAGGTAGGAGGCTAGGAACTCGAGGATCCAGTGTGTTTGAGACAACGGACGGTTTGAATTAAAGGCACAGCAGGCATCAAGTGTTCATTGGCAAGGCCAAAAGGTGAGAAACTAACCCATTTGTGTAGTGACATAAGCTTGGGCTAAGATTTAGGTAGTTTAGGGTGTATATGAAATACTCCGAATAGTGAAGATCTATGCACTCGCTCTGCAGCGTGCCAACTCCGGAGCTAGAAATTTAATGAGATCCAATGGAATTTAATCAAGTGTGACACCGTGAGCTCTTCTATATAACTTACGTTGGTAGATATGCTGGATAGCCACTGAGGCACGGACAACGCATTCAAGAGATCTTCATGATAGATTAACGCAGTAAGTTAGACTCATAATTGCAGCCACAAAAGGTAAGATGCCAAAACAAGGGAGGGACGAGTTATTTCGGACTTGGAACCCGTGTGAGCACCTTTAAAGGCTCGTTGTTCGCGACCCTGTCCATTCCCCAAACCCAAAGAGCCTTTTTTTTTTCCATTGCAGTATTATCCATATCACAGGACAGCAACAGTTTCTACAATGACTCCCGAGGTAATCGAACCGAATGTGGCTCCCCCACCCCCCATCGCCATCTGTGGGATGTCTGTACGCCTCCCCGGAGGTCTGCACACCCCCCAACAGCTGTGGGACTTCTTAGTTGCCAAAGGAGATGCCCGTGGCCAGGTACCAAAGTCCAGATATAATGCCTCCGCATATTACTCCGAGACGCAAAGGCCTGGCAGCATCAAGACCGAATATGGATACTTTCTGGATGAAAGCATTGATATTGCTTCAATAGATACATCTTTCTTCACGATGGGCAAGCTGGAAGCAGAGCGAATGGACCCGCATCAACGGCAGATGCTTGAAGTTACCAGAGAGTGCATGGAAGACGCTGGGGAAACAAATTGGAAAGGACGACCAATCGGCTGCTATTTGGGTAGCTTTGGTGAAGATTGGCTTGAGATATATGCCAAAGAAGCCCAGCAGTATGGTCTGTATCGAATCAGCGGATACGGAGACTACATGCTACCCAACCGAGTCTCATACGAGATGGACCTGACGGGGCCAAGGTTAGTTGATCCATGTTATTCTCTTCAAATATGATGCAAATTGCTAAGTGGAAACAAAACAAAGCATGGTCGTACGTACTGCGTGCTCATCAGGCCTTGTTGCATTGCACGAAGCATGTTTGGCAATCTCGAGGGGTGATTGCGAGGGCGCCATTGTTGGAGGTGCTAACTTGATAATGGCACCAGGCATGACAACCTCCATGACGGAACAAGGTGTGCTTTCACCCGAGGGATCTTGCAAGAGCTTCTCTGCCGATGCCGACGGGTATGCGCGAGCAGAAGCAATATCTGCCATCTTCATCAAGCCTCTGGCTGATGCCGTCCGAGATGGAAATCCAATTCGAGCGGTCATCCGGTCAACGTCATCTAACAGTGACGGAAGGGGTGCCGGAATTGGCACCTATGTTCCTAATGATATTTCGCAGGAGACCATGATCCGGCGTGCGTATGAGGTTGCAGGCATTGCAGATTACTCCCAGACCGCGTTTGTCGAGTGTCATGGTACTGGCACTCAAGTTGGAGATCGAATCGAAACCCAGGCAGTGGGTCGGGTCTTTGGTCCTTCTGGTGGGGTCCTCATTGGGTCTGTCAAGCCTAATCTTGGTCACTCTGAAGGAGCCTCAGGGATTACATCCCTGATCAAATCGGTACTGGCCCTGGAAAATCGTATAATTCCCCCAAACATCAAGTTTGATGAGCCTAACCCCAACATTCAGTGGGATGAATATGGACTCTCTATTCCCACAGAAGTGATGCAATGGCCTGAATTTCGGAGCGAGCGAATTAGTGTGAACTCCTTTGGAATTGGAGGTACCAACGCTCATGTAATTCTGGATTCAGCGCAGAGCTTTGGTATCTCACCCATTGCCACCCAGCGTACCATTCGGCCACAGCTACTTGTATATTCCGCAAAAAATGTGGAGTCACTAAAACAGATGATTTCCAAGTACACAGCCTATGTACATAAGAACCCAGCGAGGGTTGCGGATCTGGCGTTCACCTTGGGGAACAAAAGGGAACATCTGTCTCATCGGGCATTCTCTGTGTATAGCCTTTTAGGTCCACTCAAGACTTCGGGGCCCTCAAAAATTGGCGATGCACCAAACATCGTCATGGTTTTCACTGGCCAGGGCGCTCAGTGGCCCCAAATGGGTGGCTCGATGATCCACAACCCCGTCTATCCCACGTTCAAGAGAAGTATTCAAAATCTTGATTCACATTTACAGACCCTCACACACGCTCCACCATGGAGTATTGAAAAAGAGCTCTTGAAAGGTCCGGATACTAGCAGCCTAGGTTCATCCGAGTTTTCGCAGCCTCTCTGCACGGCCATTCAAGTGGCTCTGGTCGACACTTTCGCTTCTATTGGAATTCATCCTGCGGCTGTTGTGGGCCACTCCAGTGGCGAGGTGGCTGCTGCATACGCCGCCGGTGCCATTACGGCCAACGAAGCCATTACGATTGCGTTTTATCGCGGTCGTGTCACCAAGCTACAAACCAGACCTGGAGCCATGGCAGCTATCGGCATGGGCGCCGACGAAGTCCAGGAATATCTACAGGGTGGTATAATCGTTGCTTGTGAGAACTCGCCTGACAGTGTGACCTTGGCTGGTGATACACATGCTATTGAAAATGCAGTTGCCGTGATCAAGACGGCGCACCCCGATGTCCTAGCCAGGCAGTTGAAAGTCGACAAGGCGTACCACTCTCATCATATGGCTGAGATAGGCGACGAGTACCATGCCTTGATTGAACATCAAGTGTGCGCTAAGGCTCCAAATAAGTTGTTCTTCAGCAGTGTCGAGAACAAACAACTCACCGAAGCCCAGGACTTTGGCCCCAAATACTGGCAGATGAACCTGCAGTCCCCGGTGCTCTTCCATTCAGCTGTTTTATCTATATTCAAGCACCATATTGCGAAGAACATGGTGCTGCTTGAGATTGGGCCACACTCTGCTCTTGCGGGCCCATTGCGACAGATCCAGAGTCATCTTTCCACTTCTTCTCCTTATGTTCCTACCTTGATTCGCAAGAAAGACAGTACAGAGTCCTTCCTGACTGCGATTGGGCATCTGCATGTTCTCAATGCTGGTCCAAAATTAAGTAAGGTCATTAGCGTGGGCTCTACTCTCCCAGATCTTCCAAGGTACCCATGGGATCACTCAAAAAGATTCTGGTATGAGTCTCGGTTGAGCAAGGAGTGGAGACATCGTAAGCACAAATATCACGATCTTTTGGGTGTGCGGGTAGCAGAAAGTCCTGACTCTCATGTCATTTTCCGAAATCTCTTTCACTTGGAAAATGCCCCGTGGATTCGTGACCACAAAGTCGGCGATGATATCGTCTTCCCTTTCGCTGGCTACGCTGCGATGATTGGCGAGGCTGTCAGACAGCTCACTGAAACCAGTGAAGGGTTCAAACTGCGCAACGTTATTATTAGCACTGCCCTGATTCTGCATGAGGGCCCGCCAGTTGAGATCACGACAACACTACATCCCCTTCGGTTGACAGATTCCCTCGATAGTGAGTGGTCGGAATTTACTATCAGTTCGTACAACGGAACCAATTGGACCAAGCACTGCTCGGGTGAGGCTAGATCGCATAGCAAACATCCTAAAGCTGTAAGCAAAAAAGACCCTCTTGTGCGCAAGGTCAGCACGCATCGCTGTTACAAGATCATGGCAATGTCTGGTCTCAACTTCGGGCCATCATTTCAACGTCTTGATCATGTTCGGTCGGGTACTGTTACGCAGAATGCCACGTCCGAACTTGTTGCAAAAGAGACCGATGGGGAGGACTATCATCTACATCCTACAGCCATCGATGCCTCGCTGCAGCTGCTTATAGTGGCTGCTTCCAAGGGATATGCCGAACACACTGCCCGCACAATGGTTCCCACGCACATTCAGGAAATGTCCATCTACCGCTGTTATGAGAATTTCCAAGTCCAAGCTTCGGCATCCTACACCCCGAACGGCTCTGTCGTTGGTAGCGGCCAGTGTATTACCAAAGATGGAAAGGTTGCTTTACGCAGCTATGGAGTGAAGATGTCTGTTCTGGATTATCAAGACCATGAAAAAGCGGAAAGCGCGACTGCTCGTGTAGAATGGGCTCCCCATATCAATTTCCTAGATATCAACACTCTTTTCAAGCCAACCACTGACCGCAGTGAATATATGCCCGGTTTGACGGAGCTATCCCATCTATGTATGGTTTACACACAGCGTGTCATTGCGGAGCTGAATACTTCAATCAGTCACATGCACAAGTATCGCTCATGGATTGATCACTACCTGCTTTCTGTAGATCTGCAGAGGCTCCATGATCTTGACAATGCTGTCATTCAGCAGCGAGTGAAAGAACTCATCCACCAGATATTGCAAACCAACGGCGCGCCTCTCGCTCTTGGTATTGAGATTGTGTTCAATAACATCCAGCAGATTTTCACCGGGGAGGCCGAGGCTCTAGATCTCCTTCTAGCCGATGGCATATTGGCCAAAGTCTACCACGCTATAGATCAGTGCGATATTTCCGAATTCATCAGAAATTTGAGTCACAGCAAGCCTAACTTGCACATCCTTGAAGTAGGCGCTGGAACCGGCGGATCTACAGCGAAGCTCCTGGAGCTGTTGACACCTGGGAACAGGACCCTATACACGAAGTACGCCTTCACGGATATTTCCTCTGGATTCTTTGTTGCTGCAAAGGATCGCTTTGCCAATTACCCAAACATCGAATACGCCACTCTCGACATCAGTAAAGATCCCTTCGCTCAGGGTTTTGACGGTCGCAAATATGACCTTATTCTGGCGACCAATGTCATCCATGCCACTGCGTCTTTGAACGACAGTCTCAGCAATGTTCGCAAACTTCTTTCTCCCAACGGATGGCTCTTGCTTAATGAATTGACACCCACATTCAAATGGATCGACTATATATTTGGAACTCTGGCAGGTTGGTGGTATGGCAATGCCGACGGCCGGCCGGACAGTCCGTACGTAGGCATTGAACGCTGGACAAAAGAACTCAAGGATGCTGGATTTCGTACTCCCGATGCCGCAATTCCAGATTCGGATCACCCACATCAAGTAAACACCGCGATCGTGGCTAGACCCGAAATTGACATCACACCTAAGAAATGCGTCACGCTATTGACCCTCTCTGAATCAAAATCTGCCGGCTCTTTGCTTCAGGTGCTGGAGAACAGGGGATACTCCGTTCATCATTGTCAGTTTGGAGAAGAGCCCTTACCTGATGGACAAGATGTGATTGCCTTGCTTGATGAAGAAGCTCCATTCCTTGGAAACATGGACAATCACCGCTTTGAATCTTTGAAAAAATTGGTGGAGACCGCACAGGAGTGTGGCATTTTCTGGGTGACTCATCTATCAGGAGTTAGATGTCAAGATCCAAGATTTGGTCAGATCCACGGCATAGCAAGGGCAATTCGAAATGAATCGCTTGTCGACTTTGCTACTTGCGAGGTCGACAATCTTGACAGCTCACTAGAAAAGCTCGTGGACATATATGAGCGCTTTGGGGTCCGCCAAGAGGATGAGACCCTCAAGCCTGAATTTGAATACGCTATTGTGGACAATACTGTCCAAGTTGGCCGGTACTATCCTTTTTCCATCCAAGATGAACAACAAACGTTGGGTTCGGATGGCAGCACAACTCTTCGAACTAGTAAGCCCGGCCGCTTGGCTGCGCTACACTGGGCTCATCAGGGTATAAAGTCTCTGCAGGGAGATGAGGTAGAAATTGACAATTACGCAACCGGTTTAAATTTCAAGGTAGGTCTTGACGCAACAGGTGGACAGAATATCACACATTGATACAAATTCACAGGATATCTTGGGTGCCATGGGCATTGTTGAGGCCAACGACAATGGATTTGGGCACGAAGGGGCCGGTATAGTCCGTCGCGTCGGTATCGATGTTCAAAGTCTGAAAGCCGGTGATCGTGTTATGGCCGTCGGGAGCGGCTTATTTGGAGCGCAATTAGTTGTGCCCGAGAACCTATGCGTGAAGATACCGGATAGCTTGAGCTTCAATGATGCAGCGAGCATGCCTTCCGTGTTCAGTACGGCGATATACTCCATCTTCGACATTGGAAACCTGAAAAAGGGACAGGTCTGTGACCCCAACATTCTGGCTTTTTGGGTCTCACTTTGACGTATTTTGTAGTCCATTCTAATCCACAGTGCCTGCGGTGGAATCGGTATTGCGACCATCCAGCTCGCTCAAATGGTTGGTGCCGAAATTTATGCAACCGTCAGTAGCGAAGAGAAGGTCAGGTACCTTATCAGTACGTTTGGCCTTTGTCGGAGTAGGATTTTCAACTCCCGTAATACCTCATTCGTCGAGGATATCATGCGGGAGACAGATGGACAGGGTGTGGATTTGGCATTGAACTCTTTGTCTGGTGAGCTACTACATGCTACCTGGAAATGCATTGCATCGTTTGGAAAGATGATAGAGATTGGCAAGCGAGACTTGATTGGTTCAGGAAAACTTGATATGACTCCTTTCCTCGACAACCGGAGCTATTGCTGTGTCGACATAAATCAAATTTGGCCCCAGAGGCCGACCCTTTCAAAGAAGTATGTATCACCAATTACCAAAGGGATCTCAGTTCATGACATTCGATCACTGACATATCATGGAGGTTGCTGATCAAAACCGTGGCCCTACTCGAAAAGCGCCACATATCTCCTATCAGACCCATCAAAGTCTTCAGTTCCGATGACATACACGACGCCTTCCGCTACATGCAGCAAGGCATTCATTTAGGAAAGATTGTCGTTTCTCTGCGTGATACTTCGGGCCAGGCCAGAGTAGTACACAATATCCAACAACAAAAAAAGCCCTTCCAACTCAACAGCTCTGGTGCATACCTGCTGGCAGGTGGCCTTGGAGGTCTGGGCCGGGCGATATCTACGTGGATGGCTCAGCATGGAGCTCGCCATCTCATATATCTTTCCCGATCTGCGGGTTTGCATGAAATCCACCGGGATTTCGCCCAAGAGCTTGGCAGCATGGGATGTCGAGTCGACTTCGTTCAGGGTAGCGTTACTAGTCTCCAGGATGTGCAGAATGCTATCACGTTGGCTCAAGGCCAACTTCGGGGTATTTTGCAAATGTGCATGGTTCTCTGTGATCGGAGTCTTTCACGCATGACACTAGAAGAGTGGAATACGGTTGTTGATCCGAAGGTCAAGGGGACATTGAATCTTCATAATGCTTCGGTATCTGCCAACGCAGAACTTGACTTTTTCGTTCTTTTCAGTTCGATGGCTGGCGTCTTTGGAGTTCCTGGGCAGACCAATTATGCCGGTGCCAACACTTTCCTAGATGCCTTTTCTCAATACCGGTTGGGATTGGGACTACCGGCTTGCGCCATCGATATCGGTATCGTCGATGGAGTCGGTTATGCTGCCGATAATGAGCAAGTTTTGAAAAAGCTCAGAGTTCGTGCCAGCCTAGGTCGAGTAATACCAGAGGGTCAGCTTCTGAGAGCAATAGAGGCAGCGATAAAACCCATGCCGAGTAGTTCAAGACCAGAAGCAAGCCATTTCATCCTGGGAGCTCACTCCAATATGCCCATGGACGATCCAGGAGAGCGTTTGATCTGGAAGAAAGACATCCGAATGTCGGTATATCACAACACTGCAGCAGCCAGTACTATCGAGGAGTCTTCCTCAGGCAGTGGTCTGGAGATTTTTATCACACGGGCCAAGGGTGATGCCGCACTACTCAGCCACCCTGACTCTGCTCAAATGCTCGCAATGGCGATTGGAAAGAAGATCTTTGACTTCTTACTAAAGCCGGAAGAAGACCTGGTAACATCTTGCTCCTTGTCTGAGCTAGGAATGGACTCTCTCGTGGCAATTGAAATAAAACAGTGGTGGAAGGCGACATTCGGGTTCGAAATCAGTGTCCTCGAATTGATGGCAATGGGCACACTCGATATCCTCGGAGAGCACGCTGCTCGTGGCATGCTTGAACTGTTCCATGGTATACAGGAGCAGGCTGTTTGACCAATGTGTGGTTGTAACTGACTTGAATATGATCGACCTGGATATAATCATCGTAGAAATAATAGCAATGAGATATAACGGCGAGATATCGCTATTTATACACTTTATGATCCCTTAAAATCCATGAATATGATCTATTGAAAGATATAGCTTGTCAATCTGCACCGTTTAAACATGATGTGACACCTCTTGCTGAGGGAGTCGGAATATCGTTGCCCAAATTCCCAATGACACGGCCAGCATGGCGAGCAAGATCGGCTGCAGCACAGTTACCCCCTTAGCCTGAGCAATAGCGCCAATCATGAACGGAAAAACAGCACCACCACCCATAGAAAAGGCAGCTGCAAATCCAATAGCAGCAACGTGAAGATTCTTCGGTAGCAATCGCGTCGCCACAATCACAACTCCTGGGAAGATAGTCCCCATGAAGAATCCAACAAATGCAACTGCAACGGCGGACACAATAAACTCAGGCACGAGCCAGAATATAAGCTCAAGAGCAATTGCAAGCAAGAGATATATAGCGATGGACAACTTTTCCCCAATCCGTGGGGATACAAACCCTAGCACAAATCGACCAACTGTGATTCCGAGCCAGAAGCCCGTCTCTGCCATTCCGGATTCAAATGGGTCGCCGTGTCGGACGTTGGTCATAAAGACAACAATCCACCCACCGATTGCTACCTCAATTCCTCCATAGAGGAAAAGGAAGACTGCGCATATCCAGGTGACCTTATATGTGAGGGCAAGACGTGTTTGGGATAATGCCCCTCCTCTGCCTGGGAAGCTGGGGTTCTCTTGTCGATATTTGCTCCCAGTTTCATCCCAGAAAGCGCCGGCGGAATAAATTAGCGCAATAGCAGCAGCTCCGGTCTATATTTGATTGTCAGTTTGTCTGTCTACACGGGTTTCAGAGTGAGATAGCAAGGAGTGAGATACCATCAGGTAGTAATAAGAGTACCATTCCCACCCAGCTTTGATAATCAGACTTGTAGCAACGAGGGGGCTTATTGTGGCCCCGATGCCATAGAATCCATGGAAGAAACCGAGCACTTCATGTGAGTTTGCCATGTTCCCAATCCATACGTTCCATGCCGCATTGTGAAATCCGCTCCCCAAGCCAACCAGCATATACATAATCACCAAAATTGGGAAGGGTGGATGGACAGAGATGACTGCAAATGCAGTCGCATGGCAAATCGGAGCAATTATCGTGATTCCTCGTCTGCCGAAAGTCTGGTGAACTAGATTGCTCAAGATAGCGGATACGGTATATCCCACAAAAGGCGAAAGGAATACCAGAGAAACGACTGTATAGCTTTTTTGATAGTAAATCTCCAACTGGAAAGTTCAAATAATTTAGTCAGTGATCCTAGACGTAGGTCGGGTAAGCCGGTGGCACAAACATAGGGAATAATCGCTCCATATGCAGCATCATTCGATCCCATCACAAATGCACACCAGAATGTGGCAGTCACTTTCCATATTGTGGTTTTCGACTCGTTCCATCTTGGTGCGACGTTTACTGCATGCAACGGTGGAGTTTCATCGGTCTCTGATGTAGCTTCGGGCGTAGATTGGCCTTCGGTAGCTTCATCTAGTGTTGGCGACCAAGACCAGGTCAAGCTTGGACTTCTAGTACTCATTTCTGGTGTTGAAAGGTCGAATGTGAGACTTTGGGAGAAGATTGTAAGATTGTGGGGGTGGATGAGACATGTAATGCGGGGGACAGACAACTGGTGAATGTAAGCACATCCTGTCCTATATCATATATGTATGGCGTTTGTAGGTAGAAACCCCCTTAATAAAGGGGACTTATGTTTTCTATCCTGTTGCAGTCTTATTCCTTCTATTTATAGTCTATCAAAGCTACCTTCACATCTATTCAGAACCCCAAGTTAGTAGAGACGCTTCGACAGCGTTCGGAGCTAACACATATAACTAGAGAGCCCGTAAAATGATGATACGGAAAGCTATTAGGGGACACTAAGATTGACATAGTAGCATATCTATGGATACCATGAAGCCCTGCAACTGCCAAAGGTAAATGGTTCGCATGCATATCCGACCTAAATGTTGACTAGTTATGTGAAAGCCACTGATTGACTTGCCACAAAGCCCTCGCATACACACCCGTGGACGTTCATTAGATCATAAAACAAGAAGCAAAAGCCAAGGAACATCCATTAATGCTTCAAGAGGAAACAAACACAAAGAATAGACGAGGATATACTTCAAAGCCGGTCACGTGCTATTCTCCGAAGCTATCGCGTGTTTCCCCGATGGTCTCCAAGTCTTCAAATCCTTTCCATCTTGGGAAAAAGCCACGTCACTGAAGCCGTTTCGAGTGGAAATGGCTAAACCTCCGCAGCTATCCCCAATCAAGACTGATATAAAGGAGTTCCTTCAACCCCTCCGGGTTGAACTTGAGACCTTGTATGATTTGTCTTGCCGGCTATCATTGTCTTATAAAAAGTTAGCCGCGGAGTCTACAGAACACTTTATTCCATCGGCTCTTACCCGTCTTCCAACGGGCCATGAAACAGGACGCTATCTTGGCGTCTATTTTGGTCTGTCTTACCTTCGTGTGGCCTTCATCGACCTCTTAGGAGATCAACATGTCGAGGGACATGCACGTGTTCGGCGCACATTAGAGAAGGCATGGCCTATTGAAGATCATTTGCGAAAAGATCATAGTGTTGACCTCTTCACATGGATTGGGGACTGTATCGCCGAGGTGGTGGCAGACAGACTGGCCAATCCAAGTGAGAAGCGAATTGACCAAATAACGACGGGCATTTCCTTCTGTCTACCTATCAAGTATAGTCCCTCCGCCCAGACTCTGCTGGATGTTTCTTCGACTAATATAGTGTAGACAAGATTCTCTCGATGAAGCTATCTTGATGCCAACAGGGAAAGGCTTCTCTCTAAATTCAGACCTCAATCTCCGCCAAGCCTTGCTGAATGGATATGAACGCCACACATATTCAACTCATGGCGATGAAACGAACATGCCTGCCAAACGCCGCAGGCTGTTCTCACTTCCTAAACTGAAAATTGCTGCCATGATCAATGATACGACAGCGACTCTTGCTTCATTGGCGTATTCCATTCCTTCTTTGCCCAACACTCGTGTTGTCATGGGTCTGATCGTGGGCGCGGGGTGTAACACGACTGTTCCCATGAAACTTGCCAACTTGCATGAATCCAAAACTAAAATCATTCTTGAAAAACACCCCGACGCACAGGAAACGCTCATCTCCACTGAATGGACTCTGTCCACGGCGGCTGCTTCATTTGATGAGCTTGGTATTCGGACAAAATGGGATCTTGAGCTGGATAAAAATTGCAAAAGACCTGGTTTTCAGCCGATGGAATATATGGTCGGCGGTGGATATACTGGCGAGCTCATCCGCATCGTCTGTTATGATTGGTTCCATGAAGTTTTGGGAATAGAACACTCCAAGCTGCCGCTGAAATTGGTTCAAGAGTATTCCCTTTCAACAGATTACCTCTCCCTGGTTGTTGCCTCTTCTCTGTCGGACGAGCGCTTAGCAAGCGAGTTGTCCAAAACACTGTCGCCACCTCTTGGGAGTGATTGGGTCTGGTCACCTGAATATGTCCGTGCTATTCGGGCCATTGCCTCGGCTGTGCAGGATCGAGCGGCGTCTTTGGTGGCATCTGCAGTTGTTGGTCTCTTGGGCTGCACCAATGAACTCCAATTGGGTAGCACGGCACCTGAGTGCAACAGTGGAGAAAAAGTCACGGAAGCTGGAGTTTCTGAACAAACGAACTCCTCATCATCGACGCCAGGCTGGAATAGCGGGCCCGAGGAGCTCGCCGTCGCCTACTCAGGTGGAGTGATTCAACACTATCCTCACTATAAAGACACTGTACAGAGATATATTGATCGACTGCTACTGCGAGCTGGTCCTCAAGCAGGCGGAAAGAGTGTCTTCTTGCGGGAGGCCAGTGATGGCGGAATCATTGGAACTGGAGTCCTGGCAGGAACAGCGTCGGGGGAAATCGGGGAAATCAAGGCTACTAACAACTAGCTCAAATCAATTTACCTCAATTGATAGTCAGACACTTTTAAAGAATATATCTCGCATCTTCCTTGGGGCTTCAGCAGCGCAAGAAGAAGCCCCACTTTAGCCGCAGGAACCCGACATCGGTACATTTCCATGCCGTTCTATCAGTTGAAGAACTGATCATTGGTATTTCAATCAAATATATATCTCAACAGTTGTATAGGGCCCGCTATCAGCATTTCGTTGGCGAGCCTCAAGTCTTGTGTCGATATATCTCCGCCCTATTTGTTTGGAACCCGCCAAGAACATCGGAAGACTTTTCCTTTTCTTACCATTACCCCAAATACGAATAATCACAATGAAATTCTTTGATGTGAGCAAACTTATTATTGTTCTCGTAGATTTGACTAACACTGGAGACAGGTTGCCGTCACATACACCGCAGACCAATTCCAAGGGATCTATCGAGGAAAGCAATATCACGAACCAGATTTTGCAGAAGTCCTGAAAAGAGCCCAAGACCATGGATGTGAAAAGACCATGCTCACCACAATCACTCTGGAAGGCGCAAAGCAGAACTTGCAGGCAGTGCGGGAGTTCCCTGCCATGTGCAAGATGACCTTGGGTGTGCACCCGTACCATGCGGCCGAGATCTATGAAAAGCCAGAATCACAATATCTCAACGAGCTCCGTGAACTGGGTGAAAAACTCTTAGCCGAAAATCCCTCGCCCCTCGCTGCGTTTGGTGAAATTGGCTTGGATTACGAGTACCTGAATCGGGCCGATAAGGGAACGCAGCAACGCGCATTCCGCGAGCAATTGGAGCTTGCTGTGCAATTTCAATTACCGCTCTTCTTGCATGTTCGTGAATCAGCCGAGGACTTTATTTCCATCATTAAACCTTTTTTGCCAAGACTGCCGCGTGGTGGACTGGTGCATTCTTTTGCGGGGACGAAGGGGGAGATGCTTCAGCTCGTGGAACTGGGTCTTGAAATTAGTGTCAACGGTATCTCGTTCCGGACGGATGAGCAGTTGGAAATGGTTAGACATATTCCATTAGACAAGCTGCAACTAGAGACTGATGCACCGTGGTGCGAGGTCTTGTCTAATGATCCCAAAATCGCAGCTTACCTGGAAACTGCGAGACCTCTGCCGGCGAGTCGGAAGCATAACAAGTTTATACGTGGTCAAATGGTCAAGACACGCAATGAAAGTTGTTATATGGAGCATGTGGCATTAGTTGTGGCGGGTTTGAAGGGCATTGCTATGGAAGAAGTTGTTGAGGCTGCTTGGAATAATAGTAGTCGAATGTTTTGGTTGTGAACCTATATTATTTGAGCCTAGGTATATAAAGCTTTCAATAAATAGGACATGAAAGGATATTCTTCTCTGTGAGTTAGTTCTATTGGATCATTGGATCCATTGATATTCGGAGTTATTCAAAGCGTAGAGCAATTCATCGTATGTACTTCAAAGTTCACAGAATAGATACCACAGCAACGAGCGTTTGCCCGCATGAACATACACAGTGAAAAGAAATCTTGATAGATCGGCGTAGACGTAAACAAAGCTCCCGGCTTAGGAAATCATGATTGGTGCCCTGGATATCTATCTAGGGGGAGGAAGACAGGGGTTTCGATCGCCCCTTAGGGCTTGCCCTGGGCTTAATGTTGATCCCGGAACCTGGTTGCCGGACAGCATTGATAAATAACTGGGACGCGTCCTTTCTTTGGTCTCTATGAGATTATGTCGAGATTCTCGAATAGAACTTAGCCCCCGGATATTAATACAAGTTGGAATGAAGGAAGTCATGCATGATGCCCTCTTTTCACATTAAATCCTTCATCGCCCATGAGGTCTACAATTCAACTGCCCCCTCGAGTAGCTAGTCGCCACTAAACAATTGCTTTGTTGATGATCCAGGTATCTCAGGGTTCCAACAAGGTCGGTATAGAATCTGCGTGAATTTTGTAATTCAAGGTGTAATACATACCTATTGATTCTGTTGAATTGTCAATGATTTGTCCTCTAGGGTTCATGCAATGATGACCATACATGACGGCGTGGTATCCTCGGTATCATCTCGAGGTTGATGGAGGTGAGGGCTACGCCTTGTTGACATTCTTTCCGTTGCGAGGGTCATCGCCAAACCCTCGGTACATGGGCAAAGGCGACAACATGTTAGCATTGGCCATTCCTCTGTAGAGTTATGTGGAATGTTGTTGACTACTGAAATGTATTTATACTACTTATTGTCGACAACCCTAAGTGTATTTCCACTTCTCAAGCCCTGATACCCTTGAACTTGACCTTGTTGACTCAGGTACTTGAACTTTGATCAAAGTTCTATACATCCAAAGTTCTCCCAAGACATCGTAAGTAAAATGGTGGCGATTGCTTCGTTCCTTCCCCTTGCCATTCGATGTTGCCATCAGCAGTTTTGAGACTAACAAGCAAAGTACAATCACAATGAAGGGCACATTGATCCTCTCCGGCCTGTTGGCCACTGTCGCCTCGGCTCATATGCAGCTTAGCAAGCCGTACCCCATTCGCAGTCCCCTTAACAAGGATAGCAAGGGGGAAAAGGACTACTCTTACACCAACCCGCTCTCCAGCTCCGGTAGCGACTACCCATGCAAAGGATACGCCAATGATAAATTTGAAGCTGTCGCTACGTGGCAACCAGGCTCCTCACAAGAAATGACATTAGAAGGCAGTGCCGTGCATGACGGTGGCTCATGTCAGCTCTCCTTGACCTACGACAAGGGTAAGACCTTTAAGGTCATTGAGTCAATCGAGGGTGACTGCCCTATCGCTAAGAAGTACCAATTTGAGGTCCCCTCAGACGCACCAAGTGGCGATGCTCTCTTCGCCTGGACCTGGTTTAACAAGGTCGGCAACCGCGAGATGTACATGAATTGTGCTATGATCACCATTGGTGGCTCCAACAAGCGCAGTGCTGCTGTCGACTCTATGGATCAAGAGGCCAACAAGGGCCCAATGCACAAGCTCAACGAGAAGCCCACCGAGAAGGGGCCCAACAACCATGCCGATAACCAAACCAAAAATGCAAAGAGCAGCTTTAGTAGCCTCCCTGAGCTCTTCGTTGCCAACGTGAACCAGGCTGGCAAGTGTGTGACCATTGAGGGTCAGGCCGTTCACTTCCCCAAGCCCGGCCCCAAGCTTATTGGTAAGGCCGAAGGTCCTGGCTACAAGTGCTCCGACCATGCTCCATTCCTCGACACCGACTCCAAGTCCGAGACGAAGCCCGCGACCACCGAAACCACCACTAAGTCGGAGAAGAAGCCCGCGACCACCCTTACCAGCGCTGCCAAGTCTGAGAAGAAGCCCAATACCACTAGCACCACCACTGCCGCTAAAGCCGCCTCTCAGGTCTCCCAGGCCTTCGAAACGGCCGCTGCCGACGATCATGTTCGTGAGGCCTCCACCGAAGGTTCAGCCAAGAACCAATTTAGCAAGTACGTGGTCGAATGGTCTTGCCACTCTGGGGACATTATCTGTGCCCCCGACGGACTCTCCTTTGCCATGTGCAGTAATGGCAAACCCATCTTCATGGGCTCTGTTGCTGCCGGTACTATCTGTCGCTCGGGCGTTATTACTGCTCGCCAGTAAAGGAGTCTGTTTTTCTACTTTTCATTTCTTTTGGCGATACTTTTTGGATACACCCTAGTGGATTTTTAGTTACAGCAGTCCGTACACTGCATCAGTCGAACGGGCTTCGTTTGCCACAGTCTGGTCTTTGGACTATGACTGTTGATTTTTCTTTCAGTCCAGCTTTTGGGCGCTCTGTATTGTTTTTCTAATGGCCTGTTAAGCGCTGAGCCTGTTGATGTCCCCATGCTGACGATATTGTCATGCACACTATGTAATGAATCGGTGTGTTAATCTACGTTTTGGACCTTGATTATGCTATAAACTATTTCTTTTCGCAGTCCGCGGCGAATGATAATTTTCTCCTACAGTATGTGCACTTGATCATTAGAATATGGAACTATCAAGCGCTAGGTTTTGGCTCGAATGTCCAACTCAAATTTCGTACTCTCTCTCTCTCTCTTCTGAGACAATCACTGCCGCGCAATGATACCCCAATTTCATTGGCTTCGATTCTTCCTAACGGAAGAATGAGAGAAGCACTGGGCTCGGAGATAGCACAGAGGACAGTTTAGCTTTAACTGATAATATCTAGTACAAAATCAAAGCTGTTTATGGAACTGGCCACCGATGAGGACTCTGTTGCTCACTTATACGGACTCGGCTCACTGGAAAGCCACTGGCATTAGGATTTGATGCTCCTTAAAAGTAATGGTTTATTCACTTCACCTCGAGACCTTTGCAATCACCGACTTGCTCCTATCAGGACATTTACAGTGATAGTATCCCATCCAAGCGATGATCTACCAGAAACTACGGAGTTTGCAGATAATTCCAAGGATTGACTATTTCTCATTATCAGGACACCCTCAAAAGGTAAGATCACGAGGATATGCATACTACCTTACAATCCACTTGGCTATGTACAATTATGCTCATCAAACACATCCTAAAAATAAAGCTTAGATTGGTAGGTAGTACTCCGTACATGCCAGAAGTAGTCATCAATCCAGCTCATGTGGTTCATGTAGTGCAGTTCATGCTGTTTCTTCAGCTGAAATACACCAGGTATGACCCTTCGGCTCAGCCCCACAGAACGCCTCCGAAGTACTAGTTCGGAGTGAGCTGTGATATTATTATTTCAGGGAACTAATCTTTTTCGTGCTCAACCGGAGCCAATCATGTTCCTCGCGCCGTATGTCTTTCAATAATGTCTCTACCACAAAAAGCAAATATAGAAACCGATCTACTCCGTACATCCTTAGTCCAAATTGAAACCTGCAAGGGCTCATTCTCCGGGCATGATGACTTGAAGTTGATTTGATTTCTCGTGACTCTAGACAGCCATAACCCCGAGGTCCCGGGCAGCTTCGATCTTCTCCCAGATAATGCACATCACTATGGGCCTTCAACAGAAGCCCTTTGGCTACAAATGGCGCTCTTCCAGATGGTTTATCATTTCTACTGTCACTCTTGCCTTGTTTGGTGGTATGTCTGTCTGCAATCTGCATATTAAATTATCGCTGACCCTACATGTTGTTAGAAACCTTCCTGTATGCATTCATAGTCCCTATTTTAGACTACATGCTACGGACTCGCTTGCACATCGATCGCTCCGAAACCCAGAAGATAACCTCTACAGTACTCGGTCTTCATGGTGCTATCTCTGTCATCGCCGGGCCCATTATCGGCCATTTCGCCGATAAAACTCCAAACCGCAAGACACCATTATTGCTTTCTCTTATCACATGTATAATAGGCACCCTCATGATCGCCAGCACCCATTCGGTTCCGATCCTTTTATTACGCCGCGTGTTCCAGGCAGTTGCCGCATCTGCAGTTTGGATCATCGGCTATGCAACCATCGCAGATACTGCGGATCAGGCGAGGCTCGGTACGATAATGGGGATTGCAATGTCCTTCGTCAATCTGGGAGTCATCGGCGGCCCTGCTGCATCCGGGTTATTACTGGAAGTGGCGGGATATGGGATAACCTGGATGACACCACTCCTCATTTTGGTCATTGATCTGATCGCGCGCCTTTTGATGATTGAGACTCCGTCGAAGGGTGTCTCTGCTGATATAAATTCTACAATTACAAAGACGACAGAGACAGCAGATGCAACAGAGACTATGGGTCTACTGATCTCGCATGACCATCCTGAAGACCTAACCACTGAGGCAGCCGGCTTCTGGCGTATCATGTTATGTGATGTGCGCGTATTGACCGTTCTGCTCATTCAGATATTGAGTATAGCAGTGGGAACATGTTTCAACGCGACTATTCCAATATATGTACAGGAAACCTTCGGATGGGGTCCTAGTAAGATTGGATTCCTGTTCTCCTGCTTGATCTTGCCCAGTCTCCTAGTCGGTCCCCTCGCAGGCTGGATTCGAGACCGTGTTGGAACACGATATCCTGCCGCAATTTCGTTAGTTCTTCAGGCGGTAGTGCTAGTACTATTGGGTATCGCTGGAAATGAGCGAATCACTTGGGCAAGTCCTCAGAACAAGGGCGGGACACTGTATATAACATGTATCGTGGCTATGGGCACATTGCGTCCTTTTATCGCAGGCTTAGGACCTATTGAGTTGACCGGTGGGTGTTGATTCCTGTTAATGAAGTTAACACATTCTGTGTATCTTTCTAATTGTTCGTCGCAGCTGCTGTCAAGGCACACCAAGAACAGACCCCAGGTATATTTGGGCCTGAGGGAGGGCTATCCCCGGCGTTTGCCATGATGGAGGTTGCAGCTTCTATCGGGATGACAATTGGTCCGATTATGGGTGGTTCGCTGAAGGAACTCTTTGGTTACGACTACATGAATTTGACTTGGAGTAAGTAAGTAGTCCCTTTTCCTTGCCATCTTGCTAATCACAACAGGTCTGCTTTATCTCCTCCTTGCTGCGCTTGCAATATGTTCCCTAGGCTCCGAGGATCCCAATAACATGCCTGCTGATGATGGAGACTGCTAGAACTGTTCGGTGTCAGCCCATTTTGTGTTGCTTCAATGTTTTCTTAGCCAATTTCTCCGATTTTATATGCAGCATTATGTATCATTCTGTCCATTGCCTTTCATATAAACTTCCTTTCATATACATCATATAGAATACAGAAGAAGTTATTGCCCGCCCCTCTGGTTTGTCTCTATTCACAATGATCTCAAATGCGAAGATGAGTGCTTTTGCTTTTGGCTGTCATTCTAAGTTGTGCTTCTAGAGTCTTCAGAAGATATTCTTACTGCCCAGATGGCCCATATCATATCCATCGTGTCGTAGTTCTAAACGAGACAACCCGTATTGCAGGGAAAATAGGCGCTGCCGTGCGGGCGTAGCTTACTCGGGCCTAATATCAGCGTAACCGTCTCCAATGAGTTTGGTCCATGGCAAAGAGCGTCACCATTGCCCAATATAAAGGATAGCCTATTGTTCCCCACATCATCGAATCCGGTATGTGGCCATATATCGACGCATGCGGAAAGTGAGACTGAATGTTATTGTCGCATTTCGCCCAGGAACACGAAACTCAAAATCGACCCCTGATTGGGTTGCTGGATGTGAAAAACGAATAAATATGGAAGTGTGTTGATTATTATTAAACGTGACCGGCTAACCGGCTAATCTCGAAAGACCCAAGTATCCTTGCCAGATATCCTCCATCATATTGTACAATCCAATCTAATCACAAACATAGCAGTGGTATCTTGGCTCTCAAATAACACAAAAAGGGTCATAGAATCATTGACCAGTGCATGAGCACCAGTCCACTCAGATAAAGATACTCTGAGTAGCATGTACCTTACACCAGCAACCTAGATGTTGCCAGTATACGCCGAGTTACCGTAGCCGTAGGCACCAGAAGCCGTGGTAGGAACTGGCGCATTGGCGGTGTTCTTGTTTTTGCCCCAAGAGCCGAACCAGCCCTTCTCTGTCTTGGTCTCGCCATTCATTTCTAGGTCATGGGGGGTGGGATGACCGGGCAAGGCATCAGCACCACCGACGTTGGTCTCGGGGTTGTTCTTGTTACGGCGCCAGAATGCCTTGCGGCTACCACTGGTATAGCCGTTGGTAGGGGAGGGACCGAAACGCTTCTCGCGCTTGTGGTGGCGGGCAAGAAGGACTTGGAAGATAATGGAGATTAAGAAGAAGAAGCTGGTCGATAAGTTAGCATGATCATCAGAATATTACAGAGCGTATCAGCAATCTAAGGTTGGCTCACATTCCGATAATCGCCACTGCGAAGACGACCTTTTCCAACTTGCATGCCATGCTGAATTTCAACCCCTTGGAGGCAGTCTCATCTTCGGCGTTGCCTTTGCCCATGGGTGTGTCCAATGTTCCAGTGCATTGGCCAACACCATCGCGGGTAAGGATGGCTATAGCGACCATTGCACCCACAAAGCACACATCGAGAGCAACGCCTAGGAATGCAAAGAAGGCGACACCACCCAAACAGCAGGTGAAAACGATGCCTAGCAGGCTGTAGGCGGTTGCTGCGCCTGCTAAGCCTTCAACGGCCTTGATCCATGTTGCAATGTGTTGGTCATTCCTGGCTAAGACGGCCAGGAAGTAGGAGAAAATGCCAAGTATGACGGCAGCATCAAGGAACTGCAAAACACGCAGTCCGAGGTTGAAAAACCGAAGTATCACCCCGCCGACTCCCATATTGTATAAGGTGTATGATTCTTGTGTCGAAAAGGTGGCTATAGTGACCGCAAGGTCGAAGGGAAAATATTTGACAGAAAGGCAACAGGATTTGAGCGAGTTATTAAGACAGTTGACGATCAGTGGGTGGTACTATTGTACGGCGATCCAGGAGAGAAGCTCTTCCCTTAATGGCCGATACAACCTGCGCCACACTCTAACTGACCCCAGATGACCCACTCAATGATGTCAATTCCATGGGTGGGTGAGTCCCACCTTACTGTCTTTGGTTAGCGAATTTGCCACCGTACCATGTGAAAAAGATTCAGAAGATTGCCCCAGCCACACACACTGCCACACTGCCAGTATGGACGCCCTTCTATAATGACCCTTACACTCTATACTATCTATAGGGTATCTTCTCGTCTGGGATATCATTGCTGCCTATTTTTGATCGATTCTGCACCGTACATCATTGGTCCTTGAGTTCCCCAGCACGATCCGTGGTTTTCAGGTGAGAAAATAAAGTCAGAAAGAGTTACAATAAACTGAAACTAGCGCAGCTCGAACAATAATGGGTTGTAGTTTAATATCCTTTCATGCATGACCCAAATATACCGTTACTGGTATTATCTCGTTCACCAACACCGGTGGACCTGCAATGTGCCCATGAAGCCGATGTGTCATTGGCTCTATGTAGGTGGCTGTATTGTACTGAACATCGATGTATTTTTAGGGCCAGGGCCCATTGTACGAACCCTTAAAAAATGACGTTTGTACCCACTCAGTCTGGGTCTTCTGCGCCACGTCCACTTGCCGTTTACAAACAATACAAACATAGGTAATGGGGGATAGGGGTGATATTAAAACTGCAGCTGATGAAGTTTGCGGGGGATAATCAGAGCGAGGTGCGGTCCAGCAGAGATGAGAGAGATTGAAACAAACATCTGCCCAGTCCTGCATGTGATTCCGGCATAACTCCGGGTTATCCGTTTCACGTCAATAATTTCGAAGACATAGTGCTGCTGGCCGGACAAAGCACAGCTTTAGTCACAAGTACATTCGTCCACGAGTGATCCCGATGTGGAGTGAATCAAGAAGCCTGGTTTAGACCCGGACAAGGAGAGCGGTGGTGAACATATCCCACCAATATAGGTTGTAAAATGGCATCACTGGCGCAGTCCAGACGCTTGGGCTTGGTTGATGCCTGCTGCCTAGAAGGCTCCACAACGAGCAAGCTTCTTGCAGAAACGTCAGAAATATGACCATCAAGGCAAGATGCTGCCCCTGTCGACATCCAGGGATGTCATTCAACATGGTCCCTATTAGACTCCATGTCAACTCACATTTTACTTCATTGGGGAATCCCAGACTAAAAGCGACACAATGCTCGGCAGTGGGCTGTGAGACTGCATGGTAGTGGATGGTGTCTTCTTATCGAGACTGGCTAATAGCCCACCCTTCAGGAGTCTTGCTGGCGTTGCTTTTCTTGTTCAACAAAAGCACGGAGAATCGAATCCAGTCCTTCGTTGCGGCGAGCAAGTAGCATCACGTCAGACACATTGACAGTAGATCTCCCGGCGTGTCTAGATCACACGATGAAGTCAATACCTTTTCTTTCTGAATGAAATATCCCACCAAAAGAACAGCAACGATTTCCTTCTCGATCGCAGCAATGGTGCCTACTTACTTCGCAAAGGATTCTAGATCCTGGCTGATTGTCTCTGCGAATGGTCAGTCACAAGCGCAAAGCTTGGAAATTGACATCAAACCAATGAAGCATACCTATCTGGGCCCAAACCATCTCTGTCAACGCACCAATAAACTGCGGAGTGGCATTGACGCCTAGCTTGATGGTCTCCTCATCCACGATCTTGCCTATGGACAACCACAGCGCGGATTTCAAACGCTAGCAGAGGGTATTAGCCAAGTATGTGACGAAGTTTTCCTGAAACTGACCTCCTCCAGACTAGCCTCTTCAGTCTGCTCCATGGTGCTGAGATAGTGCAAGACAACAAGCCGAGCGCGTCCCCATATAAAACCAACGACATCTGATTGGCCGACGACGCGTCCGCGGATTAACGGCTAATCCGGCACGCAGACCACACTAATCCCAAAAAGGCATCATTCTCGTTGCGGGAGCCGCGGAATATCGAAGAAGCGCAAAGCAATCGCAGATCTCGTCAATTAATCCCTCAATCCTTATCTTTTGACAACCCTTTCTACTTTACCCTCATCTACATCTGGTTGCGCTCCTCTATAATATCATTCCACTCCGCGGGTAGCCAACGTGCACCCATCCCCTCCGACCCCTCAACCAAAAAAAAAACCCCCCAATCCACCATGTCCACACCTCAGGCAGATCTGAGCGACAGAGCCGCCGCCGCCGCCGAGGACTTTTTCGCCCAGCTTTACGTCTTCTTCGAAACGATCGTCACTCGCTTCTTCAAAAATGGATACGCCTCCATCGCCCAAATGAGCGGAAAGCGCTGGACGAAAGTCATCGGCAGCGTGGTCTTTTACCTAATTATCCGACCTTACATCGAGAAGGCGTTCAAGTGGATGCATGATCGTGACCAGAAAAAGGAAAAGGAGAAGCGCGATAAGGAAAAGGCCAATTTCGGCAAGGTCAAGGTGTCGCCGAATTCTCTGCGCGCTGGTGGCGACGCTGGCAAGGGAAAGGTCCTTGGAGAGGTCGACAACACGGATGATGAGCTTGAAGATGAGGAGGATCTTTTGGCTGCTGCTAGTGGTGTTCCTGAGTGGAATGACATGGCCCGCAAGCGTCAGAAGAATTACATCAAGCGTGTGAAGAAGGATCAGCGCGCTGAGGATTTGAGTCGTGATCAGATTATGGAATTGTTGGAGTGGAGTGAGGAGGAGGAAGTGGATGAGAAAGTCAAGAAGGATCTTTGAGATTTGAGTCCTCTTAAGGCTTGTGTGCATTGCATGGTCGATGGGGTTTTTGCTTCTTGTACTTTTAATTAGTAGATTCCAATTTAATAGGGCCCTCCTGGGCCCGTTTCGCTTTTAAGTGAGTTTTCTGAACACTCTAGCGTCCACTATTAGTAAAATCGCTGCCTTATTGAGAAGTCATAAATCTACTACTTGCATTTAAAACATGCATACAATCCAATCATATTCGAGCCAGAACTTTTATTCTGAGCTCTTCTAGAAACCAGCCATCCCCACATCTTATCTGTGTTCATGAACAGTTCGTAATATGTCGCCAATGGCCCGAAAAAATAGTTCCGCAGGAGATCAGTGAAGCCTCCGCAATGCCTCAATCATTCTTTTGACCTCCTCGACATCGGAGGAGCCGATCTCCTGCACAATCTCTTCTTGCATGCTTGGTGTGCAGTTCAAGAACTGCTCAATAAGCTCGCCGTCCACGAACCGATATGGTGCATCGGCGCTGCGCACCATCGTTCTCAAGCCACGGAACTTGTCGAACGACAAGTCACCCAATGATTTGATTTTGGTGGAAAGAGCAGCCTGCAGGGTCATGAGGAAGTCTTGATGCTCAGGGTTAATCACGGCAAAGAGGAAGATGGAGCCCTCAACCTTTGAATGAAATGAGTCAGTAAATAGGCCTTTGATACCGGTCAACCCGGTTAACTGTAGTCAACTTACTGTTGCCATGAACGCCCGCGGTGTCACTGTCACGCTGGTAAGCTGTGCAATATTAACTGGTCGAATACGATTGACCATCTCCCCTAGTGAAATTTCACTAGTAGGGACGAGCCTGTGCTTGTCCTGGGCGGTGACTCCATTCATATTCCGCGAGAGAACGATGAGGTTTCCTTCAGCGTCGCTCTGGAGGAATGTCTCATCGCCAACGCAAGCAATTGCTGTGCTCCAGACGGTCTGGTAGTGACGACCGACTTCGGTCAGCGTGGCAGGCTCCCCAGCGTGACCTGGAGTATACCTCACAAGGCAAAGGCTCTTCATGAGATCTGCCACCGCGATTAGGTTGTCGACGACTGTTACGTCAACTGGCGCAGTGGAGGTCCGATATGCAGCGAGCTTCTCGAGCTTCATTGGCCCAACGTTATTGACTTTGACTCTATACACAACGACCTGGAGATTGTTAACAAAAGCTTCAATCATACAATTGAGGAGGACTCACGGTTTTGACGAGTGCCGCAACTACACAATCGCCCATCATAGCGAGAGCACGACAGGCGCCCATAACCGGGAGCTCAGCGACTTGACTCAGCTTGCGGCCGTGATCGACTTCCAAAATGAGGATCCGCCCGCGGATCGATTCCTCCTGGTCTTCATCTGCAAATGCCGTGCCGACTACAAACCGATCCTTCATGATCTCTTTTCCATTTTCGTCTTTTCCCGCCGGGAGCTCTGCACGAACGACACTCTCCACCAGCTCGTCTGGGCCGAGTTCTAACGCATCAAGACGCCGGAACATGATCTCATCAGCAAGGACAAAGTGGCTCTTGACGACCTCGGCACCATTTTCGAGCTTGCGATCAATCGTGCCGATTCCAAATGCCTTTTCGGAAGGGGAATAGGCCACACGACGGACAGTTGAGCCCATTGGTAACGTTTGTATTTGCGTTGTGCGCTCTCTGTCAACCAGCGCTATCTTCAGCTCTTTCTCGGTTGCCACAGCGATGGAATCTGGGTATGCCTCTGCGTTCAAATGGCATATCCGTGACGCGCCCTCGGAGTTCACTGCAGAGTAGATGATGCGGCCCTCGGAGCCGTAGATCAGGCTGGGATTCTCGCAGGTAGCGAATACATTGTAAAGCCCATCACCCTTGGGGAGCTTTTTGAATGTGGGTTGTTCCGAACCGAGGATCAGCTTTTTCATCTGGCTGAGTGAGTAATCTTGCGGGTTTAGTGAGAAGGTAATGACGCAGCCATCAGCCATGGAGATGAAGAGGGTAGGCTCGCTGTTTGCGAGCACCTCAGCTACAAGAACTGATCTAGGGAAGCTCTCCCCAGTAGGGCCTAGGGATTTCGTTTGCAGAACAGCGAGGTCCTTGATAGCCATAATTGACACTTTCGCTGATTGGGGGAACCCTGCGATGAAAACCCCCGTTGGCGTTGATGGGACAGTCAGGCCAGAGATTTGCTGGTCGGCGCCGAGATCTTCCTGCGTTATGAGCTGGACATTGTCTCTGATATCAAAGGAAGCCACAATTTGGCCACCGATAGCGAGAACCAGATTGTCCTCATTGGCAGACGCAGCAGTGATCAGCTTCTGGTCCTGAGGTGCCCATTCAAATGTCACCATTCCGCTTTCTAGGTCAGCCACCAGCACTCGTTGTTCTGTGACCTGGAGAATCCGGCCACCCTGGAGCCTTGTGGCGAGAAGAGTACATTCCGTGAGTGAGAGCCCCAGGAAGTCATCCAACTCTTCAACCTCACCGTCAGGGCTAAATTGGAACACACGCGTTTCGTCAACAAATGTAACAATAAGCGTATCCAGGAAGCCATCTTTGCTTCGGGTTTGCAGTCCCCAGAGGTCATTGATGTGCTCCATTTCTCCCAACACACCTAATTCTTCCATGCCAACACCACTACGCACACTGCGTAACGTCCCGTCATCAAATGCACCAGACCCTGTCACAATTCGAGCCTGGCCGGATGAAAACTCGTGTGTTTGACTCTCATTTGAGCGGTTCCCAAGATCCATGATAGTGAAATCAAGAATCGGTGCGATGTTAGACAATGTCTGTATAACCTCAAACGAGCTTCCATCAAGCCGGAGGACCTGTGAATCGCCGTGATGCGAGCCGACAAACAACATACCTCCGCCGAGATATACCAGGACTGATGCGCGAGCCGTCTTCCCCAGATACTCGAGCTTCCAGTCATCGATTCCTCCCAAATTGTTCAGAATGAAAGACAGGAAGAATAGCCTCCCATAGTCATCAGCCAACAACCACCGCTGACTATCAACTTTCTCCCAGGCTACGAATACTGTCGCTTCGTCGAGATTTCGCGTAATCACATCATTGGCATTATCGTCAATGTACTTGATGGATGTCTCCCCGAGTACAATGAGACCGCCTAACGGAGCCGGGATCGGGATAATATGAGAGGATCCAAGATCAAGCTCCTGTCCAAATTCACCTCCCTCCAACTTCTGTACCTCCTTGAAGGTAGCATCTGCTGAAGTCCCCGAAGTACCCGGGGTAAAATCCAACTCGCGGATTCGAAGCCGCACCTTCTGCTGGTTGTCTTCGTAGAGTAGTGCCAGCCAAGGATTAGATTCAGAATGTAAAAATGCCGAGGATCGAACAAAAAGCTCGTCGATGCGAGATGTAGTCGGCTTATCAAGCTCTCCCACCTGCAGCGGCTGGTCGGCCTGAGTACCTGCCATCGACATCCGGCCACGTTTCTTCGTAGGCTGCACGATCGGCACGACAACTATCACACCCTCGTATACTTCTAGCGTCATGAACCGCCCCGTGGGATCGATCAGGCATCGTGGTGCGCATTGGGACTCCCGAGACGAGGGCTCGGCGATATCGACGCAGGTTCGCGCTGTTCTGATCTCGTTTGATTCGCGGTCCCATGTTATCGTAAAATAGTTGTATTGGTCTGTGCCGACGAAGAGGTGGTCCGTTGGTGAATTTGTTGGTGCTGGCAGGCGGGCGAGCATAGTGACCCGCGCATTTAGAGCGCGAGTCGCGGTCAGGACGATTCCATCCGGGGTGAGTGTGTAGAACTCCAGACGACTAGCTTTTCTGTGGGTTCATGAGAGGGTCAGCTACCGTGCTCGTCGTCATCAGGTGAGAGGTTGGTTTGGAGTTCCGTAGCTTCGCGGGAGGATGGCACTCACGCTGCGACTAGGCAGTCTTCTTCTGGAGCGAAGAAATTTAACTTCACTGCATGACGAATGCTACTCGCACGATGAATGGGCACGACATAGGCCATCGTAATTCAACAACCCGGGGTATCTGACAGCGCGGAGGTGGTTGGGCTTGCGGTTCGGCGCACCACCCTGCGGGGATGGAATATGTCGGAGAGTAGGAGGTACAGGAGATTGATATGGCGAGAATTGGTGGCGCTGAATTATGGTCTGCACATATCTCTAAATCAACTCTGTTAAGGCAGGGATTGCTCGGTCGGTGTGGGGGTATTATGAGACGTCGAGGTTTCCGTGCAAATGACGTCTCAAGTCCGCGCTTACGACCGAAAACATCCAGAACAGCCTGCGTACTTCCAATTACATACATGCATGGCCATGAGATTTATTTCAATTAGAAGAGGAAGAGAAACAATTAAATTCCTTTTTAAAATCACAAGTCTAAAATCATACCCCGCCCAGGCGGCAGTCCATAGCTAACAAGGTCAAGGTCCTCAACATGAGGCCGACGCTAGGAAAACATGCAAGGCAAATGAAACAAGAGGCGTATCGTATCGAGCGAAATGATAATATATAGGCGCGAGCATCTAGGCATGGTGCAAGTGCAAAGAAGTGTTCATCAATCATGAGATCATGACCAGACGTCCTCCTGGTAGCTGCCGCTGCTACGCATGTGCTTAACCATTTCCTCGCCCTTTTCAGCAGGCAACCCCCGCTGGTCGGCAATGATATGGCCAAGGACCAGATTGACCTCACGGGCCATGTTGGCAGCATCACCGCAGACGTAGAAGTTGGCCTTTTGCTTGAGCAGCTCGCTGACAAGCTCGGCGTTCTCCTTCAGACGGTGCTGGACGTAAACCTTCTCGGACCCCTCGCGGGAGAAGGCCGTAATAATCTTCAGGGAGTCGCCCATTTGATCTTGGAAGGTCTGAGGGAATCATGTCAGTGTGAAAATTCTAACGCTGAGTATAAGGGAATTGTTTTCATACCTTGAATTCGTCCTTGTAGATGAAGTCCTCATCACTCTTGCGGCATCCAAAGAACAGAAGCGTTGTGCCAACCTTCTCTCCCTTGGCAGCAAGAGCAGCGCGTTCCTGAATGAAACCACGGAAGGGGGCAACACCAGTACCGGGGCCAACCATGATGATAGGCTTGGACGGGTCGGAAGGCAGCTTGAAGTTAGAGTGGCGGACGTGGACAGGCACGTGGATACCATCGTACTTGTTGCGAGGTCCTTTGATCGAGTAAGTCAGGCCGTGGGGATCGGGGGACGGGTCGCCGTTCTGCTTCTGTTTAAGGGCCAAGAGGTAGTTGGTGGTGACACCCTTGACGATGTGCGTGGCACCCGGCAGGCGAACAGACTCGACAACAGCAGTAATGCTGATCTTATCCTTTTGAACCAGAGATGACGAAGAGATGGAATAGTACCGGGGCTGGAGCTTGTTGATACCTTCAATAAGCAGCGAGAAAGGAACGGCAGTGAACGGCTTGGAAGTAATGCTTTGGAGCGCCTGAGCAATGGTGAAGCATTGGTTGGTGATTTTCTCGTGGAAGTAATCCTTGTCGTTGCCCAAGCGGACAATCTCGGCTTTGCTCTCCTCATCGGGAGCGAAAGGAGCGAGGGTCGAGACAAACTGACGAGAGACGGGGGCGCAAACTTCCATGTAGTAGCGGACAGCGGCATCATAGGTGGTCGGGGTCGGGATAGGAACTTTGGCTGTGACATCGATACCCTTGACGTTGATCACCGAATGACGCTTTTCTTGGATGCCAAAGACTTCAAGGAAGCGATCGACCTCGGCGCCAGCGTTGGTGGGCCAGATAGCGACGTGATCACCAGTCTGGTAGCTGAGATTGCTACCAGCGATGTTGATTTCCATATGCAGGCAGTTACGGTCCTTGACAGTGAAAAGTTCCGAGGATTCGACAATCGGGGCAATGTAGGGGTTGTGCGCGGAGAAGGGACCTTTGGCGCTACCTTCACGGTGGGACGCAGTGGGCTCACCCAGATAGACGGACTCCTCCTCGGGGGATTTCTCATCATCCTCAACAACGGAGAAGACGGCTTCGTAGACAGCTTCACGTTCCTGGAGATCCATGGCCTCGGACAGAGCAGCCCACATGGGCTCCTTCCAGGCCAGGAAATCTTCTTCCATGGTGCCGGCGCCATCGTCGCCTTCACCAGCAGTTCCAATGCGCTGCGCACCAAGTTTAGTCAGGGCGGTATCGACCTGACGGACCATGGCGTTGTAGTGCTCATAAGTATTGTTACCCAGACCGAATGCGACATACTTCATCGAGGACAATGGCTTGTCTTCGGCGGAGGCGCCGCTCTCAAAGGCGACGTCCTCACCGGTGAAAAACTGGTAGAACTCCACGGCGTTGTCGGTGGGCTCACCCTCGCCGTATGTCGCCAGCACGAAGAATGCGACCTTATCTTCGGGGAATTTGTCCAGATTCTCGTAGTCATAGTCCTCAATATCGGCGACCATGGTCTTCAGACCGAAGCGCTGAGATCCTTCCTTGGCCAATCGAGATGCGTAATCCTCTGCCGTACCAGTCTGGGAGCCGTAGAAGATGACACAGTTCTTGTTTGTCTCCTCCATCTTCTCCACGATATCACGGGTTTTGCCGCTCTTAGCGGCTCCATTCAGGGTGGCGGCCGAGGCATATGGGTCTTTGGGGACGGCCCAGTAGCTACCCTTGGTGAAGTAGGCAATGCTACCCACCAAGAGTGCCACCAAGACGACCAGATCGAGTGTATCCAGTTGCGCCATTATGCGTCTCGGGGAACAAGGAGGTTTGTTGTGGCGCGAATTCCCGCCGGGAAGGGAAAACGAGATGTGTTCCAAGGCCGAAAGAACAAAATCAAGAAAGATGAAAGACCAACCTTTTTGGCAGGTGAGCAGTAAGCCCCAAATAAAGAGCCCTAAATGAGAGTTGTACAGGGAGAGAAGACCAGAGAAGCCAACAGGTGGTCTGATCCCCACCCTGAGCGGCGTCCGAGAGATGTGGATCTTCACAGGCAAATCCTCACCGCTGTCTGTTTATGTGTCGATCTGCCTATACATCAAGGGAGTACGGAGTATACAAGTATATATATATAAGTATACACAAGTATACGGGAAACAAATTGAAGTAGAAAGAAAGAGAATCAGAAAATCAGCAAATCAGAAAAAAAAATCTTTCAACCCACTTCTCCGAATTATATAAAAAAAAAAATATGGCCGAGGGCAAGATCGGAAAACATATCGGCGCCTGTCCATTCACGGTAGTTTTCCCTCCCAAAAAGGTCAACCAACTGGAAAGGCGGAGCTCGGATAAGAAGAGAGCGGCAAGGCCGCTCGGGAGATAACAAAGGGCCGTTCACCTTTTGGGGTTCTTCATGGACATGCGGAATCAGTTCCGCTCTACTGTTGATGTTTAGACCTTTGAAATACTGGCCGTGGCAACTTGCCTTTCTGGGATCTCGGATGCCGGCGTTCCTAGACATGTGGGGAAGATCGCCTATGTTGTAGGGAGTACGGAGTACCACTGTCCGTTATATGTACCTATGTGCACTCCGAACATTGTAACCATTATAATACTCCATACGGAGTACTCCGTACACAACTGGATGTGTTATTGAAATATGCGTATACTCCGAAATATGTATAGATGTATTCCAAATATGTACTCCGTAGTATGTACGGAATATCATGTACAGACTTTTATAAGCTTTGGGTTACACTAGCATAACCATTTGAGATATTCAAAATACAATAATTGTATGGACTTAGTACGAGGCGATTTGGCAAATAGCAGGCTCAGAATTGGATACTTGGCATCGAAAGACGTGATGCATAGATACGGATATATATCATCAAGGCGGCCAGCCCCGGAGACTAGTCCACTACACATTTACGTCTTTTAGCTTCTCTCCACGCGTTCTCCAAGGAGTACTCCGTACTCCGTAGATGTTTCAAATATCTAAACCGGCACTTGATTCAATCAGACCCTCCCCTGAGTCTTACGTCATTTGTAGCTCTCGAGAAACATGTGATATATGATGTCTACAAAAGATATACAATAAAAATAATTTTCTCGATTCGAATCTCCAGAGAGCAAAAACGGCGTAAAAAAAAAATAGGCCAGGTAATAGACAGTGAGGCTCTGGGGAAATGTCAAAGCCAAGACGCTGGCGGTGCCCGACGGGATCTTGAGGGAAGCAGAGGAAATACATAAATAAGAGGAGAACATCCAGCTATAAAACTAGAATACCCTATACTTCGTAGAGATCTTCAGATTTAAACTGATTTGAATACATAGACATAAATATCAAGACATAATCATAAAAGATGAGGCTTAATAATAATAATCCCCAGATGTACCCGTGCGCCCGATAAAAACATCAAGCTCTCAGCAGTCTTCACACCCCTTGGCTTCTTGAATTGGCTATGTGCAATGTGCCTTTAATTCTTGACACGGCCTCTTACAGCTTTGAGCAATGAGGTTCTTATAATATCCAAAAGTACGTGCAAACATCGCTATCGGAGCAAACGGACTAGGGTCTGACATTGACATTTGAATCTCCAGTGGCTTCACACCCTGCCAAAGCTGGCTCAGGCCATACCATCCTGCCCCTCATTCCTGACGACTTGAAGTCTCCATCACACCATAACCTCGCATCTCCATCGGACCGCCGAGGGACCAGGACCGCTCAGTCAACTCCTTTGCACAGTCGCGAATCCTCTACCGTCCGAGGAAGACCAGTTGATCCCTCCACTCTCGCCCCTATCCAACCCAGGCGCGGTCACTCCGGTTCCAAAAGTCCCGACGTATCGGGCGGACGCCCTCCAGGATATGACGTGGGATTAGAAAGAAGGCCCTCCAACTCGTATGGTCACCACCGGCAGACCTCCATCGTTCACGGGATGCAGCATTCGCGAAATACGAGCATGGCCGGATCAGCCGCTTCTACTAGCCCTTTAAGTCCGGAGCTCATTGCCTCCCTCGGTCGCGGTGCGTTTGACGAGGCGACCCTTCCTGCAAAATTCGACCCTGTCGACACACACTCGGGTTATTCGAC